TATTAAATTAAATTTATTTAAAAATAATGAATTTGCTTTCAATTATTACAAAAAAAGCATGTTAGAAGGACCACATACCAGCCAAATACCACTCATTGAACTTATGCTTATACATCAGAATTAGAGCAAAAAGGATTTTGTAAAAAGCAGGGAAATATTATCCTGAGCAGCAATAAAAAGATTCGAATAAAACTAACTGCATAAGGTCCGTCCACAACTTTAACTGTGTCTTTCACTTGAATGCTGTTCTGTTGGCTATCAAGTGCCTGTGCAAAGCGTGTATCTTTTTTACCATGAATTGCTTGCGGTTTCACTCGTACGACCTAAATTGAAACAGAACTATAATGAGAGTAAAAGTGCAGATCATATGAAAAAACGGAAATCTGCTAAACACATGCTACCTTTCCATGTATATTCAAAACTTCCAAATATTCTCTTTCTAAGCGAACGATAACACCAGCTGTTTGTTGATCTAACATTACAAGATCCTGATATTGGAACTGTCCCAGCGAGTCTACACCTGTGGTCACGTCAGCACAAAGTTGAACATCACGTGGTAGTACTTTCAACTGGAAATTTACAAATATAGCTAAGAATTGAAGATAACGTTTGTTTACAAAAGATTGAACTGCTTAACTACCAGTCTACTGCGCTTTTTTTGAATAACATCTAATCATAAACTAATGTCTACATGATTTCTCAAGATGTTTACACTATGGATCCTAACCCAAAAATACACCCCAATTAAGATGGTGAGCCAGATGGAGCATTTATATGTCCACTATAACACATGACAGATATATTAAGTTATAAAATAATAAAATTAATATATAATTAAATGCAGATAGATGATATTGACATTAAACAAATGCAGATTTTTACAAAACAATAAATGAAGACTCCTGAAAATGAAAAATAAAATTTTTACAAGAAGTAAGCTTAACAGATAACTTCGGAAAAATCAATGTAAGGCTGCGTTTTATTTCACGGGAAATACAGTGGTATCTATTATTTTCTATCACCGACAGCCAACGTTTTTTCACATCAATAGATTAAATTCTATATAAAGCAATTCTTTACCTCGTGCATTGTCAGATCCGATAATAAAATAACGAGATTATCTTCCACGCGGACAACCAAACCGGTATCTCCTTCGTACCGACCATTAATCACTTTGACGTGGTCACCTGTTTTGAAGAATTTCCTCAAATCACAAGCATTCAACGTTAACGGCTCCTGTAAAGTGCTTGATTATTTTGAAAAAAATGGTTTCAAATAATACCTTACACAAATTTAACTTCTTTTATTCTCTACCATTAACGCCAATGCAGTCCTTACATTTACTCAAATGATCAGTTTTTTTCAATTCGTTAAGTGCCTGATATTCGACGTAAAAGATTTCATTTATCTAATAAACAGAGAGAAAGTTTTACTATTTCGTTTATTTTGTTGAGTAAAAAAAAAATACCTTTAAATCTTCATGGTCCGGCAACATAACAATTTTTTCGCCATCGACGCTTTGAACTCTACCACGCAAATTTACAAGTTCACCATCTGCCACTTCAACGTAATCTCCCGGTGAAAAAATATACGACAAATCCTTTACTTTCATTCCTTCTACTGAAAGAAAATATTTTTTCAAATAAATCAATTGAATACATTTGTTAGCCTAGTCAAATATGTCCAATTATTTGTTAATTACCTTAGTTTACGTTAATAGACAAGCTTCACATAGAATGATATATTATTCCTCTGAATTTCACCAAAATCAATGAAAATTTCCTTTTTTCTGCAGAGCAGAAGAGTGTTATAAATAAAAAATAAATAAAAAACGAACATTCTTTTTTTAAGTCATCGCTTGTTTCTTGAAACTTTTCCAGTTCGCTCAGGGAAGGTTTCACACCATCAACTTGCTGCAAAAAGTTGTTGAATTTTTTCATGGAACTTTTCTTGTGTTATTAACTCCCTTTTCTAAAAAATCTGCTTGGCCGGAAAACTAAAAATTTTTTTCTGAATTCCTTGAAATGTAATCGTGAAACATTAAAAATGTTAAAAAAAATTTTGACATCTTAAATCCATCGTCCAAAACAAGCGGTAAATGATTTTAGCAAAAGAAGTTACGAACGGATATATAACAAAATGAGTGATACTTACGATAATATTCAACGGAAACCATTTGTATAAAAAGCCTCGACGATACTGATTTCCTTCAAATGTCACAAAATCGCCGTCTGTCGATACTTCACCTCCTATTTCTCTGGAATTACAATATTTATTTTTTTGAGGTATAAGAAAAATGATGCCTAAACACACGGTATGGAGCAATGTAGTCAGAAAGTTTCAAATATTTATACTTCTCTCCTTGCAGTAAAATGATTATTGAAGATTATTAAGTGTAGAATATACAATTCTTGATAACTGACAAAACCTTCCCCTCGCTCCCTTCCATTTATCTCCTTCTTGACCGATAAATGAAATACGAGGGAAAAAACTCACTCCTGAAGAAAAATATCATATTTTCAAATAATAACATAGTGGGTTTATTAAACTTACTTAATTCTTTCAACATCAAATAGTCGTGCTTGTGGTCTTCGTTTCATTTTTACAAAGCGCGGTTCATCCTTTAAATGTAGCAGCAATGTGGAAAAATTATTAAACTGATGATGAATATTAAATTGATTTATGATATATACATAAACAAAATGCACAACTGACCTGTGTTCTAAGTGCTCCACGCATGCGAGTGTAATCAATGCGTGGCACCAACTTCAAATAAACCTTATTGTGCGCTACATCCACCCAATCAACCTGTAGAAAGTTATATACAATTTATTCATACTAAGACATTTACATATATAACTTACTCATACTAAAATTTTGTACATAAAACAAAACTGCTGGATAAATAATGACAAAGTTCATTCTAATTTTACTGCATTTAACTTTCCATAAAATAGATGAAAAAAAAGAAACTTGAGCTAAATCGTCGCGATACATGGTTCGTCTTAAGCGAACATACATTCCATTCTTCAGCGACGGAATATCCTTGGCTACTTTCAGAGTATCACACATTTCCTTGATTGGCACCATAGCTATTCGGAACTGATTTAAGGCTGATATTCCAGCAATTGCTGTCGCTACATGAGACTGTTTGAAGGCTTCTATGTAAATCATTCCTTTCAAACCTTCTTTTACTACCACCGATTTGATTTGCAAAGACTGCAAACAAAAATTTCATTTGGCCTAAGCTTACCAAAAAAGAGAAAAACATCCTGCGCACAGCAATATAAATAACAAAAACTTACCTTATCAGTATTTTCATAAGCGATAAACTTTCGCATAAGTTGTAGCGCAACCAGTTTCTCCTCACCTAGACGGCACTTCACAATCCACAAATTTGGATCCTTATTTGTATTTGGTAGTAAAGAGTGACGACTTATGTCATCTAAAGCAGCGTCGTCATCCATTACATTCGCATACGACGACTGATTTGCATATTTCTTCTTAAAGTAATCTTCTATTTGGTCTTCGTTCATTCCGCTAAAAAACTACATCAGTGAATTACCATATATTAAACTGCTATGAATTCCATAGCAAAAATTCAAAACAAAACTAAAATTCAAAACTATTCACTACCTGAATAGATCTCGACGACGTCCTTCACGTTTTCTTTCATCTTGCTCCTTCATCATCCTTTCAGCTTCCTCTCTTTCTTTTGGATCAATTCCCATCTCATCGCCATCCTCTTCAAAACCCTCTTCTTCCTCCTCGTCTTCATCCACTTCCACATCATCGAGAATAAACTGGTGTACTCCTGTTCGTCGCTGAAACTCACAGTTTCTTTCTTAAAACCCCATAATTAGAATTATAAAGTTACAAAAAAACAGATGGACGTAATTACCTTCTTCCTCTTTTTAGACTTCTTACTATGATGATCATCCTCATCATCCTCATCATCGTCATCTTCATCTTCGTCATCTTCATCAAAATGCTGTAATTTATTCAAGAATATAGAGATTCTAATGATATCATTAAAACCATGAATTAACTTTACAGAAGTTACAAAAAAAAATGAGACCTTCCGTTTTCTTTCGGTTTTGATAACATCTTCGCCATCACTTTCCAGTCTTTCATCATCGCTTTTCTCCTATAACAACAACAATTAATTTGTTCACGTTTACTTCAGTTAAACAGTGGATAGTCGACCGATGTTCAAGATATTCAGAGATGAGAAAAAATAAACATAAGAACCTGACTATCTGTAAAATCCTCTACCGTATTCTGGTCCTGTTGTTCATCGCCAGACTCTTCACTGTCAGACATTGCGAAGAACAATTATAATCTGAAATAATCAGGGGAACCTACGCATTATTTCCTGAAATCAGCGAAATCAAAGAGTATATAAAACACGCAGAATTTCACAATCAATTAAAGTACCAAAAGTAGGAGAAAATAAAAATACAAATATTCGAAGGATTAGAAACTCCCATAAAATGAAATTAAATATGATGTAACAAATTTTTTATGAACTTTCATTACAGCATTAATATAATTCACATTAATACCAATTATGACCATACAAACCACCTACCACCTTAAATTTTTCCTTAAATTTTCACTTTCTTGTTCGGAACAAAAAATGTTAAATTTGAAAGAAATGTTATCAAATTAGAGATGCTTCCATAACAATGCAAATAATTTCATTACAAATAATGAAAATCACTGAAATGATAGCAGATTAAGCATGAATCTCCAATTTTAATAATACATTCTTTGTCGTATACTTTAAATAAATGATGAGATTATTATGATAACTTCCTTACATACGACTTTATATTTTCATTCTTGAAAGAAATGGCTACCTACGACTAAAAAGACTTTATGAACTCTGACTTTCTTTAAATTTTGTAACTACAACGAAATCACCTGAAATGAAAATCCGCAAATGATTCTTTTTAAAAAAGTAACTGTTCCATCTATGAAAGAAAAACAAAGAGTAACTACATAAGTGAGCAAGCTTCGGCAGCCTTTGATATATCATCTACTTTTGGTAAACCAGTTTGAGGATCCGCAACCCAGCCAGGGGGAGCTTCGCCCACTAGTTCCTCAGGAGGATACCCATACGATTGCAACTCCAACATTAATGTGGTGATATTATCAAATCGTCGCTTCATTTCTTCCAAATCTTCGCTTTCATCCTTTTCATATTCCATGCATACACGTTCTATTACGTTCATCTGCTTCTCATAACGAATCTTCGTTTCTGCATCCAACTCACTGTGTTCTGCTATATAACTGAAAATGAGATCTCATAACGTCAGAGCATTTCTCCACACAAATGCAACGCATTTGGAATTTTTCGTAATAAAAAAAGAAGATATTCCATACCACTATTAATCTTTTTTTAAAAATTTATCAGCAATTTCAAAATCTAATACCTTTGCACAATCACTAGTGTTTAAATAGACATCACAGACGTTCATTTCTTTGAAGGTTCTTCTAATATCAATGGATGAAAACAAAACTTCCCAACAAATAATCTTCAATTTCCAAGTAGTTGAAATGTCAGACATACTTGGGAAACCTCTCCAGCAGTTGCTTCAGAGGCGGATACATCAAATCCTTTGAAAAGAATGCTTGAATAAGATTTATTAGCGTTTTATACTGTGAATCGTCCGCTATATTAGTCGGATCCTGTTCTGACAAGTTCTGCAAAACAACAGATTTTATCTTGACAGGTCCAATTTGTAAAGTAACTTTACCTAAAGTCTTAAAACACCTTTCAGAAAATTTGACTGCAAACATGGTCAGAAGTTACTATCGTGTTATCACTTTTATAATTCTAAACGATGTAAATTTCTTGAGAGCAAACCCACAAAAAAAACTCGCTTTCAATTGCCCGATAAAAGCTTCAGCACTAGCCCGATCATAACTATCTTGACCATCCTCATTTGATGAGTGTTCGCTTAACGCTTTTTGTTCAGCTTCAACCAATGTTTTAAGCATATTTTGAAAATTCTCAGCAGCTTTGCGCTCATCCGCAGTCATTTGTGTTTCTTCAGATAAATTAATACTCTATAATTGTAACATATCACAAACCCCTCAAACTACACTTTTAGATTAGTATTGAGAACAAGCTACAAGCAAATATTTCGCCGTAAATGTGATGCACTCACAATGTTATGAAAAATATAAATAGGAATAAGGATATAATTGGATAAAAGCTTAGCATCTTAGGGTAAATTTTTATTTCCAAAAATTCAAAATCGCAACCCAACAAAACATAGCAAAATTAGACCAAAAAGATGAGAAAACAGGAAGATATTCTATCCTTTTATCATTTTTTACATCAAAAAGGCATCACGGAATAAAAAAGGAAGTGTGGGAGATGTGAAAACGATGTTGTTGGCAATAGCACTAAAATCTATGACTCTAAGATATAATATAAGCCAGGAAAACAGGAAACAATACCGGACGACTGTTGGATTTTTGAAGCGTCTTCATTACATCGTCAAATTTCTGAGCCGCTTTTTGCACAGCGTGTTGATCCATTGTATCCATCATCGAATCCAATTCATCATCCGTGTTACGGGTACGACCAAAATCTGCCAAAGCACTATCCAACAACGCCGACAAATCATTCTCCGTTTCATTTTCACCAGCTTCCGCCATTTTCTTGCTAATTATATTCCAGATTCATTTTAAAATTTAACACAATTAGTGTGGCCTTCTTCGACAACCTTAACATCATCAAATGAAAAGAATAAGCCAAGCAAAAGTAAGAAATGTTAGAAATAATAAAGAAAATAAAAACTAGGAATACAAGATTGATTAAAAAGACAACTGGGGAATTTAATGCGAATTAGTTAGTATGTCAATAAATTCCAACTAAATCGTGGACCATAAAGAATGATAGAATTTTGCCGAACTACTTTTAAGGCGAGCATCTCTACAAGCATCACAACTCTAGACTGTAATGAACACAGCGGAAACGTATGGCAATGAAAGCATTACAACAGAAGTTGATAAGAATTGATATGTGGAATAAAGAAATATGTGAACACGCTCTCGTAATTCAAGCAACACCACACAGAGACTGGTAATCTGGACCCCATAATATCATCTATGACATACTGCATAAAATGAATGAACCAGTACGAATGAAAACGAAACCAAAGAGCAAACATCAACACGGCGACGAAAGTTTACTTATCCGTTAAAACGTGATATCCACATCATATAACACAAATTTAGAGCACTGATATGCTCCTGCTCTTCAGTGATAACTTTATAAACATTTAATATTCAGAAATGTATGGATCATTCAGTTCTTTCATTAAGTCAAAGTAACACATCGCATGAGCTACAACGCGTACCCTGATTTCGTTGCATACGTCCCAATTTTATTTGAATTATCCATCGAATAGAATGATTAACTCTGAATGGATATCAGATGAATATGAGAAATTGCAGAATCTCCCTGATTATATATCAGTCTCCCCACCCACGGCCTTGTCCGCACGTAATCGTGCTGAACACGTCGTGCGTAATCGAAATAAATGCATATTATTGGAATGGATGAGTACGTGCTGCTTGGAATATGTGCAATCTACATAGAATCAGAATGCATGCATCAGAATAATGCGAATTATTTGGAATATATGAGTATTTGCTACTAGGAGGAATATTTGCAGTCGTGAATACGTGCAGTCGGAATGAATATATAGAATTGAAAATGGGTGAGAACGTGCTAATAGGATGAATATCTACAATCCTAAGGAATAAGTGCTGTAGGTATAGATGTGTGTCGTCGAATTCCATACTATTTGGAATTATTTTTTATGCTGGATGATAAAAACTGCTCTAAGAGTGTGGTTAAATTCAGATTTTTATAATTTTAAATAAAATTAAAAAAAGGGGGGGGGGGAAAAAAATAGGAACCGTACTGATGCATGGTGAAGCGTGAAGTGGCAGAATTGGAATTACGAATGAAGCGAATTAGGCTGTGCATTTTTTGCTCAATTTTATTGTAATCTGTTCCTGATGGATTAATGTAAATCTTGTTCCTGATCGATTAACACTATTATTGTGTTACTTTTATAGAATAACTATTATGCTGTTAACTGTAGCCTTACTCGATCAAAGAACAAAACGATTTGAAAAATATTCGAAAATAGGTTAGATCAATCAAGACCTACCATTATAGCCAGCATTTCCTTTGATCATTTTATGGATTTTCAGATTCATATTGATTATTCAAGAAAGAGACTTGTGGGAGGGGATTTTTGTGATGTATTTATTTTATGTGCCGTTAATTGAATATCTGATATAGGTGGCATTAAAATTATCCTTTACACAAAATTTCCCAACTGAGATACTTATTTGTGTTTCAGTTATTATTTGGAAAGATTGTGGTGTGAAAAATTATAGTTTTCCGTTGATCGTTAAAAGTGAATGGGTAGTATGGCTGTTCAGGCTTACAGCAGGATTAAGATTGCATACTATTATGATGGTTGGTTTTTTGGTATTTATTTATGCTTTTATGCTATTTATATTCCGTGCATCACATGGTCATATTAGTCACTCGGTTAACTATGGGATATTTTAGTTTAATTTAAGGCTTTTATTAAGAGGGTGAGCAGACGAAAGTACACACGTGTACATCCTAAATTATACGCGTACTACAGAATGAAATGAGATAGGTCATTAAAAATAAGTGATGGAACAAATCTGTAGCATGAAAGTTAAATAATTATAAAAGCAAAATGATCATTTAATTCTTGTTTGTCTTTCATTGTCAAGATTCTTTGGCGTTTCATAAACATGTTTTATGGATATAAGAATCATTTAAATTTTGCACGTTATGGCGTAATATTTAATATTGGAAAGCATTACTTAAGAGAAAACATCTAGCTATTTCCATTTGTGGGATTGTTTTACATAGAACGTTGGGAATTACTAATATGGTCCAGGGCATCTGATAAAGCCTCACAGAATTCGAATGTCTCATAATCTTTTTTTAATTACGGTCTTTATCGGCGAATGGAAGTTTATGTTAGTTTTTATGATTGTTATATTTGGTCCAATTATTGTGAAATTCAGACCTGTTTTCGTAACTCTTTGATCAAATTCATCAATTGCATTGATCAGATATCGTTGAAAAAATATGAAATCTTAACATTAATAAAAAAATGAAAGAATATGACATTTGTTCCTCCTCCGTGGGGAAATAAAATTTTTTCAGTGAGTTAAGCAGGAAATTTGGCAACTTTATTTGAACGTGTTGAAACATGGAGGTAGAGCATTTGTTTTGCAAGGGGAGAATTTATAAATGAATATTTTTTCAACATCTCAGGAAACTCACACTTGGACTTATGTGTTGTTCACGAAGCTAATTTTAAGAGGAAGGGAGGAGGAGACATTATTGTTTTTCCTAAATGATTCCCGAGCTTTTATAGTAAATTGATGGCAGCGAAGTACCTCCAGTTTTTCACAATTCTGATTTGTGTTCGGGGAAAATATGCTTAAATAATATTTAGGGTATGTGTGGATTTCTTTTTTTATAACCATTGCTTATATTCCAGAGATCGCATATGGCATTGTTTGAGGTATCTTTTTAATACACTGTTCGATATTTTCGTATAATAACTTAGTAATTTTACGTAATATTGGTAGTGATACGGAAAGGTCAATGTTATATTTATTCTTGCGTACGAGTTTAAGCCCTTGCTTGTGCGTCACGTTTCTATTTTTTTTATCTGCTACCATTTTGGGTTATATTATCATATCAGCCATCAGTTATTGTCCTGCAGTGTGGTGCTGATTCATTAGTTGTGATAGACTTGGGTGTTTCAATCTAACTCTAAAAGGTGATCTTACTCTAGTACACATAATGATTTCATAAGCATTTCATGCTTATGAAATCATTATGTGTACTAGAGTAAGATCTCTGTTACGACTATCTGTACAATATATTATTTTCGCTCCAAGATGTGTGTTTCATTAAAAGTGCTTTGCAATGGCAACAATTTTTGCTCTCCGTTTCTAGGGACTAGGGAGATTGTGCTTTTATTATTCTTATGAGTCTTTATCCATTCTTAATTGCAGGACATGGTGAATGTGTTGAATTTATGATAAAATTCTATCTTCCGCTTAAATAATTTATGTCTGCGATCAAAGATGTAAATTTTTAAAATACACACTGCTGAAAGGAAAGTTTATCATTATTGAATTTAGTGCACCTTTAATGCACCAAATTCCGAAAGATGTTTAGAAGTTATGTCCTTCTGACTCAAATCCATTAGTCTTGGGGGTCCTCCCGGTTTCTTCCACTCTTCTCTCTCAGAAGAGGGAAAGGCTGATCCCGCTGCTGATCTCGGCTCAGTTTTAAACACTCTTCCGCAGTTGCTTCCATCAGTTGAAGAAATTCAAACTTATATAAACATCATTGCCAACAGGTCAGTCAGTGAATTAAGCCCAATGGAGGAATTGAACTCTCAATAGTTTCCCATCGATTAAGTCTATCAGCCACTGGACTTATAGTAAGAGGCTGCGGGGTATGTGGCGAAGCAAAACATAGTGTGTGATCGAACAAAACGATGCATCCAAAAATTCAATTACTCACACAAGTGAATATTATCCTTCACCGGACAATGCGCTATAGAGTTAAAGGATCGAGAAATTAAAGGTTAAGAAAAAAGTTAAAGCAAGAGACTGAAGATCAAGGCGAATGATTAAGGACTGATATAGTTCGAGCTCGTCCCGAAATATCAATTTTGCTATAATTAAAGAATTTCTCGAAAATGCATGCTTTGAGAACTATCGATGTGAGGCTAACGTTTCAAATTTTTGAGCCAAACTGGTGTAGTCGATCAGTTCATATTGCATAGACATTTGTTTACCGTGTTTTAATCAATATTATTTGTTACGAAGGAAGAAATAGAATTAATCGCTATCAAAGCTGGAAATGGAATCGGGAATACCATTCCTGTCACTCATTTCCAATAACTCTTATTTAGCATAAAAGATGTTATTGCTTTTCAAATTAGCATTTTAGGCAAAATTGCTATTTACAATTAATACATAAACATTTGAAATTATAACTGTGGATAATTCATTTCTACTTCGTACCGAAAGAATAGATGAATGGATAACTGACTTATATTCCATATAGTTGAAGCTTATAAATATAAATACAAATAAATTGAAATTTAAACATGAATAAATTGGTGGTTATAAATGGATAGGAATAAATAAATAATCAGCTGGTTTATTTGTGCCTAGCTTGTAGGAATAATATGAGGGCCACTTAATTTTCTTTTCCTCTCAAAAAAATTGAATTGAATTAACGAGAAGTAAATCGAATTGAATTAATGAGAAGAATTTACTTTATAAGTTAGAACTGTATGTTAAGAGTAATTTAGACTTACTATAGAACCCTTGAATTGATCATTCATTTAAAATTATTAAGTATCGCTCAGTTTTTTTAAAACAAGATTGAAAAAGAGAAACTAATTGACATTGCATGACATAGACTCTTTTTTTGAATCCTTTTGAAATTTTAAATCAATTAATTCTCAAAACAAATACTATTTTGATACTTCCATAACTGACGGTTTGTTTTAATATTGGGAAATATGACAGATTTAAAACAATTACTTATAATCGATAGTATTTATTTCAATACTATAAATTGTCATCAAAGATAATTTGGTGTGACTTCAAAGATAATTTGTAAAATGAAAAATGATCTTTAAGATATTAATCTGCAGAAATTGCTTTTCCTATGTTTAATTTTAGGTTAAAAAATTCATTTCAGTTATTTGTCCAAAATTACTGTAAATTCTCTATCGAAATTGAAATAGATTATCAATTATAGTAAATTAAAATTGTTCTTGTCCCAAAGAAGAAAGATTATTTGGTTGGTCATCTTCGATATTTCCAAGCAGATTTCACAGATTTATAAGAAGAGTTCATTGCGCGTGAATGTAGTGGACAAGGAGAAAAGAGGACATTCCCAAGAAGGATTACTTAAGGGTCATTGACAGCATAAGCATTTTTTTAATGTAAACAAACAGTTACTCTTTATGGTTATAAAATCTGATGATTAATTTAAGAAAAAATGAAGTTTTATAGTTTTTCGTGATGCAAAAATTTGAGAAGAAAGAATTGAATTTTATAATTTAGAATTCGAATTTTTTAATGTAAATAAAAATGAATATAAGAATAATTGATCTTTAATAATAATAATAAATTGGCTTCAAAAAAACATACACTAAAATTTGGAAAAAAATCATGAAGAAAACTTTCGAATCATATGAATAAATCAAAAATATTTGTTTTTCTAAAAAAATGAAAAAAAAGCTTGCGAAATATTTATCGTATCGCTATGAATCATTGAAGAACAAAAATGGTATAAAATGCATTTGTTGTAAACATGAAAGACCTACTTTGTTGTACAGATGCTAAAAGTTGTTCTTGACAAGTTTTCAGGAATTTGAAAGTACGATATGCAAATTCCAGAATGAAATGCAAAATACGGCTGATCTAGCAGAACGATGGGTGTAAAAAGATATTTTAACTATTTTAGTTGTCGTCTGTTTAGTCGATAATCTCATAACTATGAATGGATTATACAGGTTGGATCAATTTTATGGTTCCATAAATTCATCAGCCAATTCCGCAGGATAAAAGCAGGACTGGTACGGCGATCGAGTCTATTGCTTTTCGTGGTATTGAACTTCATTCACGCGTATTTCATATATCATGTATTCCGTATACCGAGTATTCCCATATCAAAATCCATTTTTTTCAGCAAATTTCCTTCCCTTTCCTGTTAATATATTTTTTGGCGACAAATTAACATTTAGCTCCCTTATTTTTTGAACTTTCTTATATTTTATAAAATCGCAAAATGCACTTCATATCCATTCCGTTCTCAATCATTATAATTTTGAGCAGAGTTCATCTTCTTTTCATAACACCTTTTATTTGCAGATAATATACATTTTAAGATAATTAATGCTGGTTATGATAATGTTTTGAGCAACAGATTATAGGTTCATCTTTATTTTGAAATTAATGTTTTACTCTACCACACATTCACTGAGCCTCAGATGGGACATTACTGCACTATAATTAAGAATAAATCCTTTCCGCAGCGCTAAAAGGAGAAAAGAGGAATGTTCTAACTTCGGCTTCTTGATTTCCACTACAAAACATCGCTGAAGCGTTTATTCTTTTTGGCAGATTTGGAAAATGATAAGAATCCGAAACTTTGAAACAATGTTAATATACAAATGTTGAAACAATGTTAATAAACAGTTAATTTGCGCGACAAAAAAAATTAATCATAAATAAAAATTCAAAAAAAAATCGTTCCCCAGATATACAGACGGAAACAAGATAAGTAAAATCATAATCAATGCCCGAATCGAGTAAGTTCGCCACGAAGGCGGCGTACAAACTGAATGTCTTTGGGAAAAATTGTGACACGTTTTGCATGAATAGCAGCCAAATTAGTATCTTCGAATAAACACGTCAAATACACTTCCGCAGCCTCCTAAAAAAAATAAGCGACTTAAAAAGATCAAAATTTGCAGAACTTCTACACAAACTTCAAATAAAACAAATATGTAAATGTAATAGGGACAGCATCGATTCCTACCTACCTCACTATGCAGCAGACATTTCCTAGTAGCCGTAGGTATAATATACTTATATACACACTTATATTTTCTTTTCACTTTTCTTAGTGATGACTAGCCATCTGCTGAGTATCTTACGTTCTGCCATTTGTAAAATAAAATGTGATATAATTCGAAAAGTTTATGTTAATGAAACAGATGGTATTTTCTTTAGACTGCATACATCTGCGGTACGGGCGATATTTTGCGACTTACTTATTGTATAATTCGATGTGTCAAATAGCAGTATGCATGTAAAATATACAATAAAAGACATGAGACGCTTGGTGTCTGTATTAATAATAGAATTACCTGCAACGCAGATATTGCAAGAGATTGGAAACGCAAATCGACATTTTTCTCCGATACATTCACTGCAATTTCACGTACCAAGCGTTGGAATGGCGCACGTGGTATGAGTAAATTAACCGTTTTTTGTAGTCGCCGTACCTCTTGCAAAGCGCGCATACCTTAAACGGCACACATATCCAATTATATAAAATATATGAAAATTTTTGAACATTTCTTACATAAAACGCTTAAAAAACTCAACTTAGATAGCATACTAGCAATTCCTTACCGATAAATTCCTAGGAATTTGGATGAGCCTTGTGGAAATTACAATTAAGGGATTTACTTAGTTGGAATGGTGAAAGATAAATTCAAACAGATTCAAAAAAGGAATTCCAGAATATGTTCACTGCAAATTACGACGTAAATACTACAGGATACACGGAACTTATTAACCTGGCTTGTAGCGTCGTTTCTTGATAAATGAAGTATTTTCACCAGGAGCTTCGCCGTGAACTTTGTGTTTAGTTCCAGTAATTCGTTCTCTCTTTGCGCGAAGTTTCATTAACTTCCCCCGAGTTGGCAATGATTTTTTTGCGGTTTGTTTCGTGCGAACCATTCTGTGCCAACTGTTATTCTTAAATATCAATGAAGAAAATGGACAGTGTTCCTTTATTAAAAAAGCAAACTAAATTGCATGGGATGTCAGTCAGTAGGACAAAATTGGTATTGAATCCCACAGAGACCAATACCCATCCAACACACAAGACGAAACTGACACACCCCGGGAGTTCTCAGATCCTTAACCCAGAAAATGAATGTAATAAATGTGGAAGCACGGCAAAAAATGCAAAATGAAAAAAGCATAAAATATCTCATAAAGGAAGAGAGTTAGACGATGATTTGTAGCATTATGATCTATTAGTTTTCCGATTGTATCGATGGATGGCTGGGGCTATTCGTGTGGGAATTCGTGCTCCGTCCTGCTTACCTTCTCTCCTGCCCTTCTCGGTCTCTCGTCTTTCCTCTCGAAAAGGCGAATTTATTGTTGTTTCGAATCAGTATCTAAATGATCACCTATTGCTAACCGTGGAATATAATCACATTTTTTTCGGCAGTAGGAGAAAGTTATTGAATGATAGAATGATGGAACATTTTGAAACTTATCTTTTAATGCATTCTAGGTGAAAGTAAAAGATGGCAGAAGACGAAGACTACGAAGGTGAAATGGATGCTGATGAGTTCGGCGATGAGGAGCAGATGGATGATTTAGATTTGGAACCCGCTGAAGATGATGCTGAAAGGATACAAGTCGTCGAGGTCTCTTCTTGTTTTCCATATTTGATATTATGGAGTATAGTTCTCGAAGTATAAATCTCAAGTATCTCATCATGTAAAGAAATGAGAGTAATTGAAATTATGAACTTTGCAGAATTGACGCTCTAATTTAGGATCTAAAAGTTCCAAAACAGATGGAGGTAGTTCCTGAGGATCCATATATCATAATAGATTTGGAACCCTGAAGATCCTAAATTTATACTCCGTGCTCATCTTTAGTTACTTCGAATGGACATTATTGATCCTGAAGAATTATGAATTCAATTTATTTTAAGTATTTCAATCTTATATCAATCTTTGTTTACTGTTCCTTATGTCAAAGTTATTTATGTTAGGGATCGCAAAAAACAGCGTCCGCTGAGCGTGTCACAACTCCATTCATGACAAAGTATGAGCGAGCACGGATCCTTGGCACGAGGGCGCTACAAATTGCGATGGGTGCACCAGTCATGGTAGAATTGGAAGGAGAAACGGATCCACTGGAGATTGCTCGAAAGGAGCTCAAGCACCAAAAAATACCTCTTATTGTAAGAAGGTAAAAAAGTTCGGCTTTTTGTCTAAGAAGTCCAGAAAGGGAACCTGAGGGATTTATATTTGATCTTTCATCTCTTTGTTTATCTTGATGAAAAAAAGTGTCGCAATTTCTCTTGAGTTAATTTGTTGTCCACGGATAACGTAAATAACCTTCTCTACTTTGTTGATAATGATATAAAAAGCAGTTTATTTTCTTTTACTCGTTATTCCGTAATCTTTCAGATGCAAAAAAAATAATTCAAGGGAATTCTGAATTTTTAAACAGAAGAGTGATGATTTTAAATTATGTTTAACTTGCTATATATATTTTTGAAAAGTTGAGTTAAAGATCAGATGAACATTTTCTGTGGTTTTTTCTGATCAAGTGAAAATTTCTTGTTGCAGGTATCTTCCCGATGGTTCTTTTGAAGACTGGAGTGTTGATGAATTAGATGTTACTGACTGGTGATTTGGTGATCACTTTTTATTATTCATGTATTTATTTATCGACATATACTTTGATTTAACCAAGTATATTGGATTGAGGAGAACGGCTGATCTGTTATATTGTGAAATTGCATGGTATCGCTTTCACTATTGCTTTGGGCATGTTTTTACAACTAATTGTCTGAATTTTTCACTGAAAATCAATGCAACAGAAATTGCACAATGTTTCTGCTATGAGAAAGTGGTCTTTATGGAAAGGATAATTTCCACTACAGGAAATAAAGCGCTAGTGGAAAAAGTCGAGCACAACGAAAATTTGAAATTTGTTAGAGTAGTTCATACGCAATCCAAAACTTTTGCTTGAACTGTTGTAATATAAATCCATGTACAGTTTTAAACAGATTTATTTTTCAATCCTGGGTAGTTATCGCTCTATCAGCTCCTTTGATTCTCATCCCGAAACCTGAATTGTCCAACTGGATGTCTATTATTTACTCATTAATTGAAAACTTGAACCTATAAGCCTTTTTTTCTTTTTGAGAAAAAATTTTCATATGAAGCAGAATGAACTCCAAGAAGGACTGAACCCAATCCTGGGAAGGGTTGGACTTGCAACACTTTGCAATTAAATCTGTTTCTATCCACCTAAAGGCAAGGATGACGGTAGGATATTAATAAGAAAAGTATACTTTGGAAGGGAGTTTAAACATGGGGGAGTAACTTATTATTTATAAAGTATTGGGATCGGTGGTGAGAAAATTGGGAGGGTTGGTTCGAACTTATAGATAGGTTATACTTGATTTTTTTGCAGCATCACTTTTAATGCATATTGCACGGTGATGAAGGTTTCATATGTTTTCTTTTATTTCGAGTTAATGGTTCAGGTTACATCTGTGAGTCAAATTTACAAACCTCGAAAATGAGACAGATTAACACTGTCGATTAGAAGTTTGGAAGTTTTGAAGATATGGCACAACAAAGAAAAATATAATTGTGATAAGACAACAATGAACTATGTAACGTAGTTCATGGGATCGTTGATGACACCAAAGTGAGGAGATCAAGTCCCTTAATACCATATGAAGTGTTTTACTGAAGTAGTTTTCGTAATAGATGTCGGAGAAATGGTATTACTATGGGATAACTTCGAGTTATTAACACGAAACATTGTGATTTCAAGGAAATTATTCAGATCTTTCATAGTGTTTAAATAAAGTTAATTAAAAACCAAAATTTTTGTTTCATTATTGATTACGTATTTCGAATTTTCTGTCAATTTTCTTAGATATAGGTGCTTTGATTCCTTAATATTTCGGAATAAATTAGCTTATTAGCTTAAAATTAGCATATTAAAACAGCTTATGCTTTTTACGAAGCACAATTTGTTTCCAGTGTGGAAGTGCATAAAAAGCTGTTCGGTCCATTCGAAAGATTGATTGGAAATCATCATCATTTAGATATTGCTCTAATCGATTGAGATCAACACCAGGTGGCAAATCTCGACTTCTCACTTTTTCGAGTGGCCAGGTTTTTGTTCGTAATTGTAATAACTCATCCAACTCTATTGGTCGGCCTCGCAATGAATTTTGCTAAAAATTATAAATATGATTAGCTTTTATATGTTAACACTTCACTCAGCTTACGAGAAAGTATGTATGGTATGGAAGATATGCAGGTAAATCTAAGATATTTCAGATTGGAGCTTTGTTTTAGAAGGAAATGAAATGGTAGCATAGAGAACAAACCATTAGATATTTACTATTACTTTTTTATTTCTTATTTTAAAGATTCTGAAGTAGGATTAAATTGAAGTGCTACGTAACGAGTTCATTTTCATCAATTTCATCAACGAAATCGTCCCATGTGGCAAAAAGTGCTTTAAATGAGTCCGGTTCTTGTGTCTTGCAAATGACCGTTTTTGGACCGCTTCGATTAGACCAGTAAGCGTTTGCTACATGTAATGCAAACGTACTGACCGTTTTATCGCTCCAAAGCCACAATCTACTATCCTGATCTACCATAATTGTATCCCTAAAATGGGCATTCTTTAATTTAAATGTCAGTCATATTTGTCTATAATATATGTTACTACTTATGAGTAAAAAATTTGAGCTTTGAGCAATTCCTTTAAAAACTTGTACTGTAATTTTAGTAATTCAGTCTGGAATTAAGTTCTTATATGGTATCAGTTAAGTTTTCATATGGCATCAATTAATGAACGAGTAAGTTCCTTAACGGTATCAATTAGTTAATTTACAATAATAATTAGATGGTTTGAAAGCTATCAAAAGCAAACCTAAAACTGCTCTGTTGAAATGAGAATGGAAGAGAAGGATCACAATTCGTAGACAACAATTCTTCACAATCTTTATCAAACAATCGAAATAACCGTGGCGGCTGTAACGAAAGTGTGAGGGTAGATAAAGTCAAAATAGTAGATAAATATAAGCGATCGATAGTACAACATTTATCTATGTATCCCTAAATGTGACGATATACCTTAACGGAAGTACACCTAAATATGACACACCTTAATCCAATGATCGGCTTCGATTATAGGATAATCTTCTGTTCTAGTCAAATAACAATGATCAATGATTGGTTCGGAAATAAATTGTTCAAAGACACTGTAATGTGTTTTAATTTTTTTGGCGAAATTCATAGCTGCCATCTTTGAACTTTCATTACTTTCAATTCCTTCCAGTATTGTTATTTTCCTATCATTTAGTACAATATATACGGCATGAGCACGATAAATGACAGGTAAAGTTTGCTCTTCCATTCGAGCTTCACTAGCAATTGATGATCCATAAACGAGGAAAACACCCGATCCACAACCACAGATAATCAGTGATCCTTGAAACAATTGCAAGAACAATGGCGATTCTTGTCCCTGGAAATATTTTATTCTTTTATTCATTCTCTTATCTTAAATTATCAATGTAAAATATCGTTCAGAATGTGATCACTTCCACGCAATCGCAATAATGGGTGAAAGAGATATTGCTTGCTTGTACATATCTGTTTGTTTAATATTGCAGAATTAAAACGACTTTTAGTTTAATTAATTTTGAAGACCTGAGCAATTCTTTCATGAGGGAAATGTGCTTCATCATAATCTCTTAGTGCCAAAGCGCAAAGTCCCTGCTCTGTTTTAGTGGTCTTTTTACCCAACCAATAAAAATATGCAACACGTTGGCGACCAGTTTCTTTCTCACGTTCAGTACCATCCAATTTTCGTATTCCTGAAGTGTGTCAACAGAATTTTTAAGATCCTAAACATCTGCCTATGTACGTAAGTTAATCAGACCTGTAAGAGAAAAATTATTTAAAAAAAAAATACAAAATCTACCAATTCGCTCTATTCGATATTCCCATTTAATAATATAGCAGCGATTATCTTTTAAAATCCATAGTTCATCCATTTCATTTAGTGTCTTTTCACCCTCCAAAATGAAGTATCGAATGTTCTCGGTAAAAACATTTTTAGAATTTCTGTACAGTTTACGTCCTTCAAGAATTAAAACTGGTTCTTCCACTGATCGGGATGCAAGATTTCTGCAGTAATTTAAATTTTGATTCTTGAAAGCTAGAAATATTAATGAAATGATCAAAAGATTTTAATTATTTGAAAATAGAGTATTCTTCAACTTTAACAGTTAAGGTTTCAATTTTCAATTTTTCAACTTACAATTTTTCGACTTTTCTACTACTAAAAACTACTAAAGATTAAATTAGCCAGAAACCTTCCTAAATTGTATGCCTCTTCTTCCTCACGTAATACTGAAGCTGGAGATACGGAGGGTGTGCAATATACAGATGAGTTGTATGTATTAAGAGTAATATCATGAAATTGCCAGTCATGAAATTTGTGCTGGAAGAGTGAATCACTTAGTCCTTGAGTCAGTTTGATAAGCAGACACCATGCCGGTCGAATTATATCGAAATTATCACCCAGGATCATCCGATCCAATCCAAAAACTATGTTCAAAGGTTTGGTGCGCTAAAAATTAATTATCCATTACTATCTATTTATTTCCATTCATTATTAGCTAGTTGTTTATTTCTATTAATTACCAGTAGTTTAATGATCACAGGAGAATGTTTCACTATTAATTGGATTTTTCAGATTCAGTAAATACTTACAGATTACCTACCGTATGAAAAGGTTAGCATTTTTTAATCTTGTGATAAATAGTTAAAGGTTAGTAATAATAAAATTACAACATTTACCAATGTTTCAGCATACGTGACTACATGTTGTGTTCCAACACGATTAGCATTTCGACCAACCCAAATATAAATTTCAGAACCAAAATCGAAAATCAAATTCTAAAATTCAAAGAAAAGAATGGATGGAAAATTTGATAAGAAAATTTAAGAATTTATAAGGCTTAAACTAAAAATTAGTTCCCCTTATGAAAATTAGTCCTGTTGAACAGATTTATCAAATTTACTACTAAATTGTTACGTCCATTTGTATACAATTAAGTTATTGAGTATGCGATCACTCCATCAATTAATTTTCATTTACATTACAAAGGACAACAAAAACATATTTCTGAAATATTGATATCATAGTCTTTGCTGTATAGTCTTCATATGTTGATTTCTGCAACATGTATGAAAATTAATAAGTAATTAATTATTATATAGTAAAAAGGCCAACAACCTTTTTGGGATGCAACAAAGAGAACTTTGGGAGTTGACCTGATGAGATTCGTTGTATATTATAATGCTCATCAATTTCATAAATTGTATTCATTTGAGCGGCAATATTCTCAAATGGTTCATTCAGGGTTAGAAGATTATCTGGGACATATTCCTCATTTATGACAGCCTCATATTCTTTTTTATTCAATCCAAGCAAACGCCAGAATGCATCAACACCTGCTCTTTCGTTAACATTTTCAAATTGCTTCGCATTGCATCCCAATTCACCGTTTTTTTCGCAAATACTTGTAATTATTACCGCTGCCTAAAACTATCAAATACTGGTTGATATCTAGAATTATTATGAATCTTTCTACGAATTCAGCCAGGCTTAATTCTTAAATTGTAACGTAAAATCTTGTCGTGTAATCTTCATTATTCACCGCAGAAACTAATTTAACTTGTCCAATACCTTAACTTCAATCTTAAAATTGTCATTTTGAAATTGTAAAACAATAGAAATAGATGATCATGATGGAAAATTACAGAGCGGGAAACTTATTGCAAGGAAATGGGAAACAACAAAGGAAGATTGATTGCATTACGTTGTAAAAACGACGATCTCTTTGTCAAACAAATACGATAAGCGGTAATTGTATTCATTTTTAAATTTTTAAAAAAATAAAAGATCAAATGACAGTATCTTTTTGTATTACTCGGAATAACTGTAGAGTTTTTGAGGAATGACTATAAGAATTCAAAAGATAAAAGTATTGTGAGAAATTTATTAATAAATAATTAGAGAATATTGGTTATCAAAGAAATACAAAACAAAGAATTACTTTACTCCTTTCCAGTACACTCGAATATTTTCCCTGATATAAGAATAGTTCATTTGGAGTAATTAGAATGAAGACAGCATAAGCATGAATTGAGGTATATTTAGGTGCTACCAATCGGACATCGATATTCTTATCGCCTAAACCATTCATTACATTTATAAATGAAAAAAAAGTTAGACTTAGGAATAAAGGAATATTTGTTAAAATAAAATTCATTCATCTGATGAATTCTGATTCTTTTTTTTTGAAATAATTTCAATTGAAATAAATTTATAAAACTCTAATCTGATCGATTGATCCAACTTTAACCATTTCTATGTGAGATAGAACATAACTAATTCCATATCATTTCATGTAAATTATTCATCATAAATCAAATTTATTACCAACTTCGGCAAATTTTAAAACTCAATTTTGAATCTATTAATCGTTAACAAGAGTTCTCATATTTAAATTTTCGAAATGAAAATTTTAACTTTTACAGTTAAAATCTTCGATTATGACAAATAAGAGGACTAAAGCGCAAATAACCTTTCACTCGTATAAGCATTAGTTCCGGATATGGTGATTTCAATTCTCTTTTTTTCAGCTTTACAGCCGAATAATCCACTTTGCTCTGCAAACCCTAAAACAAAATGATATGGTTGTTGAAAGTTTTCAAGATTTTTATAATTTTATCATTAATTAAGTAAGTGCAAATAGAAAACCTTTTTGGCACTACTAGAGATTGCCATCCCATCATCTTCCTGTTCAATTTTCCTCCTATAATCGGTAGGATTTGATAATATACCAACAACTCGTTGATATATCAAAGGTTCCATTGGTCGACGTGAAGCATTGCGTCGATTACGACCACGTGCTGCAGGTCGAATTGGTACATTCAATCTGGAAATTTTGTGACACAATTTTATATTCAATTTTAAATTTATTCTCTTCTTGTTGAATTAATTTCAGAAGTATTATTTTATTGAATATAGCATATCATTCTATGTGACATCATTTTTGCTGATATTCTTACTCAATTACTATTTAAATCATAATTCGGAATTTTCACTTTGTTTTTTCGGTTCCTCTAATATATCGTAGGTCAAAGAGAATATCATAATCGGGTGAAGACAGTGTCCATTACAGAATAATGAAGTGTGGTATGAAATTTAAAACCGAAAGGTAAGCAGTTAAATTATTTGATCTGAGAGTGAATTAAAACAAAATTTATAGTATTTCTTATGAAAGCAAAAAAATAAAATTTGAAGATAAGAATGAAATGTAATATAATAAATAATGGAAGAATTCTGCTTAATTATATAACCCCTTGATATATCAAATTGAAACAGTTTAAAATTACTGAATGTGTATGTTTATGTTTGCGTATATATTATATAAATATGTACATGTTTGTGTATGTGTCTGTACCTTATGATATGAGTGCATATATGTAAGTGACCGATAACTGTGCCATTTCATAATTTTGATTAAAGTTTTGAATGTTGAAGTTGCCAGATGCAATATGTCATACGTAGATTTCAACCATTGGCTGTTTGTCGTATCAGATTTGTGTATGCACTGCATGTGGAAGTTGACATACATACATACTAGTCAAATTTTATGTCTTTTGCTCAAATCAAAAATCTCCCAGTGTGAGAGTCATATCCGACGGGTGGTCCGTTTTATATAACATTTACAAGTTGAAAGGATGAAAATGAAGAAGGAAAATATTTTCTGGTTGATCGAATTACAGATAAATTTAATTACTGACATTTTGAATATGAATACACTATTGCTGAAGTGACAGAAGATTGAAAGAAATTGGTAAATGATAGAAATTCTCACTCATATGAATAGCTCGAAAAAAATGAAAAAAAATTTTGACTATAATTCCAATACTAATTTTGCTGTTCTAATCTCATTTAATAATTTACTTTAAACATTTAGTATTTTACTCCTAATTAGCATAATTAATTTGAAATAATTTTATCGCAAACGAAACACCTTGGAGTGGTAGTGATGATATCTTCAAATTCATTCAAGTCAATTTGCGATATTTTGGATCGTGATGAAATAATGGAAGCGCAAGAATAAAAATGGTCCAAGCCCTTGCCAATATCCACTGTTCTAATTTTTGGTGATATTTGCTTAGTTGGAAAATCTTTCTGCAAACGTTTCACACCGTCGAGATATTGCAAATCTGGATCTTTTTTAATACGGTCACGCCATCGTTCAGTTGACTAAAAATTCATCACATTTAAATTTAAATAAACATCAGAAATTTTCTAAGAGTTTGAAAACTTTGGAATTTGAATTTTCAATTAAATTCTTTTAGGATATTTTTTTAAATTTTATTCATTTAAAAAATAACAGAGAGAAAGGATTTCCTGACGACGAAGACTTACTTCTTTTAATGCATGCTTTTGTAAATCAACTACTGTATTCTCTTCTTTTTTCGACAATTCAGTATTATCAGTTAGCATAATATTGCCATCCATAAGCTAAAAAATTTAATTTCATATTTAAATATCTGAGAGTACCATTTAATTATAAAAATCTTGGAAAAAAAGAGAGTGTTCATTTGACAACGAAATGAAAACATAAATCTTACAACGTAATAGTTTTAAAAAACTAATCCAAAACCAGTCCATTATAAATGAAAAAATAAAACACTCACAGTGGAAGTTCTTAATATTTACCGAAAAGTTCGTTAGGTTCCTAATCAACGATTCGAACAACCTATGAACCTGTGGAACAAGGCATAAATGAGTTACACAAATTGTAATGATGAATGAATGATAGATATATAATAAATCATTTCATACAATCTATCATTCATCTTCATGAATGCTATCAATATGCTTATCAGATCGTAATGAGATAGTTTAAAGTAAACGAGAACGAGCAAAAATCTTACTGTATTATTCTATTTTATTTCTAAACTTCTTGGAAGTGAATCATTTCAGGCTTATATTATTTGATAAATTCTATCATTCTGATAACTATCATTCACCGCTCTTCCAACATTATCCCATAGTGCAGACATTTATTTCACATCTATTATTAAATATACTCTTCAAATTACTGCAATATAAATTTCGAAAAAAGCCAATTTCACAATTACCACAGAATATCACATTTCGTTGCAAATATGATATGAATCATTTTTAATTATTTGAATCAATCACTTCCTAATTAAATTTCTTTTTCGATTACATATAATTAAGAAAGGAGCTGATCCTTTTCACTTCAATACGTTCTTCAGACTATTCTTAACAATACCGCCCTTATCTTCAATAAATTATGCCAAAAACTGTTAGAAATTTCAATTTAAATATTGAATGAGAGAAGTTTTATTATATTATGCATCACAAAGATGAAATATTTTATACTAACAAATCTTTATGCGGCATTTCAAACCATAGCAATATAAATATGCGACCAGTTAAAGGTTAGAAAGGTTAAGAGTCAATTAAATTGTGTGAAAAAATTTTGAGGAATTAATTGCCAGCAATGAATTCGTTAAATTTTAACAAAATGGAAAAAATATTTCAATTCTTTTAATAGGATAACAAATTTTCATCTAATAAATATTATTAGAAATTGATATCATTGAAATAAACTTGCATAATTAAATGAAAATTGTGAAGGAAAATTGTTTACATCAAATTTTAAAATCACAGAAATTATTATAAAAATTAACTTTTAACCTTTCCAATGATCCAATGATACCAACAATATTTATTTATTGGCTTATTAATCAATTCAGGTGATATGAATGCAAACTTCGGTATGATTCATAGTTTATAGTTTAGTAACTTCTAATGAAAATAAAGAATTCATTTGAAGTGATATGGAAATATTGATCGGTAAATTCAGAACTTTTCTGTTAGAAATAATTGAAGAAGAAAAAATGGAAATGTATTTCCAATTAATTTAAATTAAAAAATTTTTCTTACATTTTTCAAAAATTTTCATTAATAAATTTTATTTTATTTTTTGGGACAAAAGTTCATAAGAGAAGCAATTATCATTGAATTCGAATAAATTATTTCATTAATTTAAATTCAATTCAATGACATTCATTTCAATATTTATGAAGAAGGAAAATGAAAAGAATCTTACTTTACATATCAAGTGATTGATTTGTTGAATTAACAAACGAAATTGGCTTATCAGTTAAAGAAACCACTTCCAAAATTCATTATAATTTGATCAATTCCGGAGATAAAATAAAACACTTAGATTTTCAGCAACTATTTCTATTATTGCTAATTGTCATTAATTAAATTCAATCATTATTTCTATGTTTTTATTTAAATAACAATGAGAACAACATGCTGAAAACTGAAGGATGATTAGTTGAAGTGTCACTTTTCAATTGTTAAACAATTGTTTCAAGTTTCCGACTCGGTCCATTTAATCCGAAGGTTTATTGAAAAGGGAATGAGAGGAAAAGATGTCATATTACTGTTGACAGTGAATGGATTAAATGCTTATTGATCGGCATTAATGGCTGGTGGCGCCTCATGCTATTTCTATGTACCCATGCTGTAATAATGTCATCACCAAATTAGCCAATATATACCCAAAATTTGGGCTATAATTTTTTTCTTTCTTTTGTGATTAACAGACTTAAAATTAATATTTTTATTGATTCTTCAATCTTAACTTTATAAGTTACCGCTTTTGATAAAAACGAGACAACGGTGCCTTATCGAAGGTTCAACGAGGTCATAAATCGATCAAGGACTAATGCGATATGAAGATTTCGATAATACCTTTAGCTGAATAATATATATCTTAACCGGAAGAAATATTTAAAGATTTCTCGATCATCGAGAAGATAATCCGTAAAATTATCTATAAAATTTAGTTTAGGAATTTTAGAGTAAAGAAAGAAATAGCAGTGATCATGTAATCAATTGAAATTCTTATATGACAGTATCATTATCTTCTCTTTTAATTTAATACCAAAAGTTTCTAAAAGCCCTGATCGCTTGATCAAGTATGTGTTTGATCACTTAGTGATAGTAACATTCAAAATGTTATCTACTAGGATTTTCTGGAGTTTTTCCGCATCCATTTGTATCTTTTTATCCTGTATTATTAGAATACGTTAAATGCATACATCGTTTGGCTACTCTCCCCGGTTGGTCAAAAAAGAGGAATAAAGACTGTGTGCCAGATAAGAGACAACTGTTGTTAATTCATTGGAAAACTGATGCAGACATTGGTATGCTAATCATATTTGATCATAAATGAATGTAAATAGCCAACAGGGAGGGAGCAGACAAGGAAGAAAAATGCTTGTCCTTGAATAAATATTATTATTGAAGATTGAAAATAAAATAGACAGATAAGTAGGTGGTAAAGTTTTAAAAAAAAAGGTTCTCGATGAATAGGATAAATAGAGGTATAATATAAAGTAGAAGTGTGAGGCGGTTTTGGGCGTGCGGAGAAAGTGAAAGAGTGAAATCACATCTTCCAAAATTTCAATTAATTAGGCTTATTTTATTGTCGAGAGTGAAAAAAGGGATGCGAGAGGAACAACTAATTCAGATAATATTGCTATTATTATTTATTATTATTTATATTTATTATTTATTATTTATTATTATTATTATTATTACATTAGTCACTATTAAATAATTATTAATCCATATCAACCGAGATACCTAATACGAATTCCAATTAGTTTATCATTTTGCCAGTTTTTTTCATAACATGTAACCTTTGTGTAACGGATTCATTTATCTATTTCTTTTGCTATAATCGAAATTTGATATGTATTAACAGGATTTCTGCAGGCGTCAATTAATAAAGTTAGCTATTAGAAAGATGCCAGAGGGTAAGGCACCTCATTTCCCGCAACAGCCGGTAGCTCGACAAAACGATGATGGATCATTGGAATTGGAATGTTTTTTAGAAGCTCAACCAGTCCCGGATATTAAATGGTTTTACGATACAGTAAGCTTTTTCTATGGAATATGATTTTTAATAAATGTTTTTGGATTTGATTGAAAGAAGCGCAAGGTACTGTCCTTCATAATCAAAATTGAATAATAGATTCAGATATTATACTGTTTTGCATCAAATTTTAATTCATTCTTTCATAACATTTGTGGAGTTGAATAGTGAGTAATTCAACATTTTCTAGACTGAACTAAAACAAGACCAGCGGTTCAGTTTCCGACTGGATAACAAGGGGAACGATGCTTATTCAGCCATTCTACAAATCAAGGTGATATTTTGGTCAAAATATTTAAACATAAATGTTAGAAATAGCTTCAACTTATGAAGTCTTTTGGTTTTTATTGTTTGTTGTTTAAATATATTTGTTATTATAATTAATCTAAGGTGAATACATTCAATGATTGTTTTTTTCAGGATCTTGCTGATAGTGATGCTGGAGCTTATCGATGTGCTATTGTAAATCCACACGGAAAGGGGAACGCCAATTTTAACCTTAAACTTACAGGTTTTTTTTGTTATGTATTCATTACATTTTACTTTATTGTATTATGTGTCAAAACCTTTTGGAAGAGAAGAGAAAGTGGATAAGAACGCTTCTATTTACCTTCAATATTAACTTGAGTATTTTTAAGTAAAAACATCTGCAGTCTAATATTTAAAATTTCTTCTATTTATTTCACAGAGGTTACGAATTCAATAGGATTTGGTAGAGCACTGGCCGATGAATAAAGATGGGAAATAATGAATAGAAAACATATGCTGTTTTTCTGCAGTGGAGTTCAAATGGAATTTTACCTTGCTCGGTTCCAAATTACAGGATTTAGCGCTCCAACGTTTGTCGAAAAACCACAGATATCATCTCGTGATGATGGCCAAGTAATGGTTATGGAATTCAGAGCGAAATCAATCCTTAAACCTACTTTTGTCTGGCAAAAGGTTTCTTTATCATTTCTCATGAAATGTAGCATTTTTTGTAGGACTGTGTAAATTGGTTAAATTTTGCTTATCCTTAAATTTTAATTTAGAATTTTAGTTTGATATTTAAATTAAATTTATAACTGTTTTCGTTTTAGGGTGAAGAAATCGTAGCTGAATCGGATCGTGTGAAAATTGTCCTAAGAGAAGAAGCAAATCAGACATATTATGCTGCTCTGGAAATCAAGGTATCGATTAAATTTTCACTGAATTCAGGACAATTTTTTGCTGGTTTTAACACTTTTTCTAAATGCGTCGCATTATTATACTAAAAATAGGAGCATTTCAGGAGCCGACAAAAGAAAAAGATGCGGGCCAATTTGTTTGCACAGCAAAGAATGAATCTGGAAAACTAACAGCCACTTTCACTGTTAAATTTGAAGGTTTTTTTTTTGATTCCAAGTATTTTCTCTTTAACATTAAATTTGAAATTGATATATGGATAAGATGTTTTAATTTTCACGTCAATTCGTGTTGTCTAAAAATGATTTCAGTGCCACAAGGAGCTCCGACTTTTACCCGTAAACCGCAGATTTTGCAAAAAACATCAGACTCTGGTGATCCAGCCATTGTTTTTGATATTGGATTCCAAGCTGATCAGAATCCAGAGGTAAAACAGAATGTTTCTTAATGTTATGTTTAGCACTATGAGCTGAAAAAGTTAAAGAAAAATTTTCCTTATATACCTAGAATAACATTTCTTAATTCAGGTCATTTGGTTAAATCCGAAGGGCAAGAAAATGAAGGAATCAAGTCGTATAAAGTTTGGATTAACACCTGATGGTGGTGCGAACACATTTACTGCTCAGTTAGAACTGAAAGTATGTTCATTACTTATCACTTCAAATGTTATTAAGTGATGAAGAACATTTTGAAGCTTTGAAATTAATTTAATCGAAATCTCTTTCTAAACTAAGAAGCATATTAGGTGAAGCTTCTTTTCATGTTTGAAATTTAAATTTTAAGTAATATTTTTAGAATTATAAAGCGAAGGATAGTGGCACATATACTTGCAATATTAAGAATGAAGCTGGTGAAGCAAACGTTGAATTGACACTGAACATCGAAGGTTTGTTCTTCATATGAAAATTCTGACATGCTTTAACCTGTGTTGCATGTTTTTTAATCTGTAGCGACCAAATTTAAGTCTTCGAGTTCGGCATGAGCTACATACTTATTTTTGCGTAGACTGCTGATATCCCAATGAAATTTTTTGGTTTGATGGCTGGACAGTTACTACAAGTCCAGGTCTTTTTTGGACTCCGTGTTTATATATTTTAACGCTTTGTTTAAAAGTTCTCTGACATTATTTTTGATTTATATGGATTCATTGCATCATTACAAGCAAGTGAAATTCCTGCTGTTTCCACGGAACATTAAACCATAATTATCTTTTTTCGAATATTAATTGTTTCAGAGTTTTAACTCCGTAATGGTAAGATCATTATTGCTTTTGATTGTGGTGAGATAGATCACAGAACGCTACTTTATTCGAAAAAATTTTGGATTTATTAATTAATTTCAATTAACCCATGCTGGTGATATAGCATGGATTAATTCAGATCAAAATTTAGAATTAAATTGAATATTGGTGATATCTCAAGTCTTTACACCCAGTTTCTTTGTTAAATTATAGATAAAAATTTTGCATTAACTATTGGTATGGTTCATTCAGGTGATGACGATGACAGCATGACAGATTGATGTGCATTGAATTCTAATATGTAACCGTGTGTTGTACCATATCTCAAATGCAGTATATCGTATCAAATCCTGTTTGCCTGCTAACTTGTTCATGCATTATAACAATCAACAAGTTTGCTTGTGTGTTTTTCCCCATTCAAAGTTTAACAATTTGAAAACTGTAAAGTTGATCGTAGGGGCCGTTCTTCATCTGAGACTGGATTGATTTCTAACACATGTCAGAAATGTTTACTTTACAAAAATGTTTATTTTGTAAACACAGAAATGCAATGCCGTAGATAGTTTCTAAAAATCGATTCCAACTGATTGCTCATTCTCAAAGTTTTTCAAGATCATGGAAGACTAAAGAAATTCATCTTTTGATTTGTTTCAATTTCATAATCTCAATCTTTCAAATTGTTAAGAAACTAACGTAAAAAAGAAATTTCTTTTCAACGTAAAAAAGAAAATTTCTTTTCATTTTTGTGATGTTAATTGAATTATGTAAAATATGACTGTTGTTTTAGTATAAGGTTCCATTTTTAGGACCCTTAGACGAAGGGGCAGATGATGCTAGCGAAGCATGAAATGGACAAGTTTTGGACGGTCCATAACATGTTGGAGCTATGAACAGCAAAAAATCTGCCAAAGTATCAGAAATTTCTTGATATCGTTGGATTTTTCTTTATTAAATTTGCGCTTATTAATACTTCATAAAGAAATGTTTTTGTTTATAAAATAAGGGTAATGTAATGGTGCCAGTATTTGTTGCTAACTTTGTTTTTCCATGCTAAATGGATATTCCATTTGTTTGGATATCGAGCAACCAATCCTCGCCCACACGCATTATCATTTTCTCTTAATTGATATTATTATTATCATTATTATTATTATTATTATTATTATTATTATCATTATTATTATGTTAGCTTTCATATACTTAGATATAATGCCGTGCTCTATCAAACATTTTTTGTAATAAGAATTTTTGATTATGTCAAGTAGTCCTATTTCGAAATCATTCTCAAGAATTCGCATCCTGAGAATGCTTAATACAAAAGATGTTTGAACATTTACGGTATCTTACCGGTTTTTAATTCTAAATTATGCCATTTCATCTTCTAATTGTTTATTTTTCTAATCTATAAGAATTAAGCTGCCGAAAGAATTTAATAGTCATTGTTTAATAAAGTGCCTTTTCCTGACATATTCGAGATACGTTTTGTCTTTTTTTATGTGCTTCTAAAATCCAATAATTCGTTTTGTCCTTTTTTATGTACTTCTAAAATCCAATAATTCAATTAGTTTATTTTCTCAGAATGTTCTACTGTAAAACAATTCTGATGATGGCATATTTTAAATTCAATGCGCCCAATGCATTTGCTCATATGTGGGTGATAAGAAAGAATAAATATGTTACGTTTTGAATTTGATTCTTTTTAACCCCCTATATAATAATAATAATAAATGGAACATATTATTTCTTTGAAACTGCATTAAATCGAATAATTCATTAAACGGTTTCTCCAAATCCACAAATTACCGAGATTGTTTAAATTCAGTGATCATTGATAACATTAATCATATTTAAAAATTTTTTTAGTCTATGTGAATCTTTATGCTATTGAAAGTTCAGGTTAAAAATCACTGGACTAATAATGTTACAGGGACTGTCTTTTAGGGACTATCTTAGACTGTCTTATATTTTTCATCCTAAACCAATTTGTTAATAACTTTCAAAAGAATTGAAACAGAAGCATAAAGCATTTCTAGAATCTATATTGTTTGGATTCTAGAAAGCACTTTTCCACTTCTCTAAATCTTTTCAGTAAATGTCCTCTGCAAATACGGAAACAAATTAACATTAATTTAGCATAAAACAGTAGTATCAACTTATCGCTAGACCGAATAACTTCCAATTATCAATTACCATTGAAGTCCTCTGCAATGCCTACGAGTTTGCAAAATTCCGGCACCGACGCCACGACCATAGCCTTGAGGTCCAAATTCTTTTGCATAACAAGCTGCAATTCCAATAAAGTATTAATATAACTCCTATTAGTCATTATTATCTTTTGCAATAAATCATGGAAAATGAAAGCATTTGCAAATTAATTGCGCAGAGTGGAACATTCAGTGAATGAGCCAATAAATCTCAAATAAAAAAATGAAACTGATTTATGAGTGACATACAGTTGCAATATAAGACACCACATCGAACGCATACTGTTCTCGGTTCCAGTAATTTTTTGCAAATTTCGCAAACAAAACATTTATCATAATGCCAGGCCTGAAATGGTTTGTTGAATAGCTACGTTGACAAGCCACTGATATTAGTATATAAATCTAGAAAGCTATCATATATTGGACAGGATTGATAAAGAAATATAATGAATGTGTTTTTTATTATTAAAAACAATTAAATCTCATCAAATATTCTATCAGTATCCAAACTGCTATCATACTTACCATACCGCCTGCTAATATTTTTTCAGCATCGTATACTTTTTTTGAACATCTGCGGCAAGTGACTGCAGCACTTGTAATAGCATTTCCGCTCTTCCTAGTTGTGTTACAAAAGTTGGGAATTAAATATGACTGATTCTGTAACTTAATCATGAAATAATGATAAAAAAATATTATTTCATTTGCATATATGAAGTGATATGACAAGAATGGATATTTAAGTTTAAACAAATTATAGTAAAATTATATGTTTCGCTTCAATTCGATGATGGGAAATGTAGTAATCTCCTGATAGAAGAATTTATTAGCCTCAAAAAAAACCAGCTAATAACTTACTGTCTCCATTATTGCATGTCGTCTTTCACTAGAAGCACCTGGAATACATTAGTAATTAGTGCAACAGTTACTATAAATTAGTAATTAGTGTAACAGTTACTTAAGTCGAGAGGTATTTTTCGGTTTGAAACAAACTAATTAATGATTCAGTTGAGTAACATTGATTACACAGAGAGATTTTGCAATGAAAAAATTTTAATTTTATTGAAGATATAAATAACTTACTTCTGGAGTGTATTTCGCTTTTATCGCAAAATGATTCATCGATGAATTTGATGTATGCCGGTTTTTGATTCTTCTTTCCATCAGCATAAGAAATTGAAGCTGTTACGAGGTCCTCTATATAGATGTTTATTTCAATAAATCGTTCAAAAATTATTTTGGTATTTTAAGAATCCACCCCACTTTTCACTCACACTTTATGAAATTTAAATGCCAAAGCAGTAATGCAATTTAAAAATTACCGCTGTCGAATTCACTTCGTTCATTTGAATCTTTGCATTTGCCACTGGCTGTAAATAAGACTCCGGCACCAATACCGTAACCGACACCTTTAGGCCCAAACAGATATTTATAGCAGTGATTACAGTAGAGCTATAAAGTGATCATTTTATAAAACACTTGCTGTTATCTAACAAAGCCTCGTTTATAAATGAAATGAAGGTTGTTAACCTGGTCTTTGTGATCATTGTACGATCGACTATCCATGAATTTGCCGCATTCCGCTTTTGCTGAAAAGGCTATGAGTTTCAAATTAAAAAAAATGGAAATTCTTAGTAAGCTTTGGAAATTTAAATAACGAAAAGCTTTATTTAGAAAAATATTTACCACAACGGAAACAATTTTTGTGCCACGATCGTCCGGCAGCTTGCACCAGCTCCGCAAAATATACCGGTAGATTACATTTACCACAGTAGCGCTTCCGCATTATAATTCAAATTTGCATTGATGAAACAAATTTAAGCTGTAATTTGATTTACAAATTTGTTAAACAATGGGATGTAACTTAATACATGAAGTTGAATTTAATAAGATTTATTTGTCCTTAAGGGAGCAATTGCAAAATAAAAATTCTTGTTTCAAATGAATTCCAAATTTTTTTTGTGGTTTTAATTCAACATTTTGATCCTCTTATAATTTTTTGAATTAGAAATGCAGGATATTCCTTGTTTTTCTTTTATGTTATTGGCCAAATGATTAGGTATGAAATACGTCAAAAGCGATAGGACTATTGATAAGTAAAAGGGATATCATAAGAAAGGTAGAATCTATACATTTATATCTTCCAACGAGACAGCAATGAACAAAGCCAAATAATAGATTTTGAATGAATATTGAGAGAAATATCGCAGTAACCGATATTTTTTCTAAATTGTCGGAGTAATCTTTAATGCATTCTGATTTAATTGTTAAAAAATTTATCATTCAAAGCAATATGATAAATTTTTTAACAATTTAAATTTATCATTTAATTGTTAAAAAATTTATCATATTGCTAAAGAAGAATTATACAGGGATAAAAATGAGAAAGATAAAAAGTTGAAAGAGAAAATATTTTGTAATACAAGATTGTAAGAAATAAACTTTTTAGTAAAATTTAAAAATAAAGATTTAAACCTTCACTTAATTTATGATAATAAATAATCACATTCAAAAATTGTCAAATGATAAAAGTTGGAACAGCGTAATGATTTAATCAAAATCTCAAGCATAATCACTACTACTACTACTATCACAACTATTCTTCGAAATCATTCATTGACCAATTTTGATCGATTGAATTATTGATGACGGCGTTGTTGTCCTAATTTTTAGTTTCCGTTGAAATTTTATGTTATAAATTCATTAACCGCAATAATTTGCGATTCATTTAATAGAAAAGAAGTGCATTACAAAGGATTTATGTATTGTCAATAAATAAGAAATAAACAATGAGACATTTGGTAAACAATTATTTGATGAAATAGTAACCGCTAACCAATTGTGTACAGGCTTTTCCTTATTTAATATCAGAAATAAAATTATGAATGAATAAAACAATTGCTAGAAGATGCTGCCAATATGAAATGGAAAAAGATTTTTGTAAGAGATATCATAAAGTAACTCTTATCACTGATTACGAAAGATATCATCGAATTCAATATATTCCAATTAATCGTGAAGGAAAATTTCCGAAAATTCTTTGGAAAATTTTTGGAATTTGATATTAATTTTTATTAATGCAATCTTTCATTCTTAATAATTTTTGAAGGAACAACAAAATGCATTATTTAATTGCAGAATATTGTACATCTTGCGATAACTTAATCAATTTTGTTGTTAAATTGTACAAAAAGCTCAGAAAGAGAAATGTGAAGTACACTGTTTATTCAATAATAAGTTAATCAGATGACAGATTATACAGTCAACAATTTTTTGAACTCCTTGCAGCAATTATCTTATAGCGGAAATAAAACAAGCAAAGGATGATCAATGAGAAGGATGACGAAGAAGGGAAAATTGATAATAAATGATAAAAAATATAGGGAACACCAGTTGACAATGAAAGAAGCATAATCTTAGTGGAGACAATAGAATTACTTGATGTCACTTTCTCAAATATGAAGAAATAGGCTTGCAAACAGGGCATTTGCTGTCACACAATAAGCTTCAAGAATTAGATAAGTACTGATTCACGTCCAAATGATCGGATGTTCAATTAAGACGTTTAGCGAATTTCTTCCGAATTTTTAAATTTATTAAAGAACAACAAGTTGACTGTTTAAAGATATTGTTCCTAAAGTTATTTAACATCAAGATGTTTTCGATAGTTTTTCTTTTACCAAGAATATTCGTTGAATGTTAACGTTTGCTTCTCTAAGAATTCAGAATTAAATCAGACAAAAAACAATAACATTGACTTCTTTTAACATTAGAAAATTTATCCCATGTTCAATTAAACTTTTAGACTTCTAATATTTGCTAATTTTATTAAATTCATAGTTTATGATTGCTTCTTTGGGTCTTACATTTGCTTACGGTCAAACTTTTATTTCGAAATCTATTAATTTTAAATCTGAATTTCTCAAAATATTTGAAATAGATTTGGCTGTATTGAAATTTTGTGTGTTATATTGAAATGGATAATATACAACATATTATGTTTAACGCGACTATGAACAATAACAATTTCTCCTTAACTCTGAGATCTTCTGATTTCATCAACTACTAAATTTGAGTGAAATTGTTTTACATTATTGTAGAATTTCATTTAATATTGGATCTTTATAATTTTGCAACTTTTCACAATACAGATCTAATCTATTTCCTCATGAATCTCAAAAACCGTATGACTGAGATTGTATTGCTTCTCAAAAAGTTTGTTTGTTTTTTCAGTTGAATATTCCTGAACATCCTGCAGTCTACAATAAGAAGAAATCGATGATTTTATCAAATTTCGTTTTCCATAAATAGGAAAGACTAGTTAGACATTTAAGTAGATTATATTGTGTAACAATTCAAGTGGGGACGGTAGTTTCAAAGAAATCACCATCACTTCAACTCTTAATTTCATTCCCTCACTCTTTCTTTCTAAAATTGCATCTGGAAGGAATTTTTGTATATAGCACATAAAACATTTGAATGTTCAAAATAAAATGTTACAAACTTACTTGAAACCGGAAAGATATCATCATTGAAGTATTCGTGTATTCTGGAAATTTCCTCCTTCAGGAGTTTCAAAATAAGAGTTACTCAGTGCAAATTATCATTATACTTAAAAATAAAACTTTTATACAATTGCAACGAAAACTATCGTACTTTTTTACAAATTATTTCTAAGGCAGTGAATCTTAAGAGAATTTCTTATTCTCTACTTTCTATTTATCCTTTTGAGCCCAACTCTCGTTGATGTTTACTATTATGATACTTTTTCGGATTTATTGAAATTTTTTTAAAATGTATTTGTAGTTGCTGAGGTGTCAGATGTTGTACTGTATATTAATTATATCCTGACATTAATTTTTTTTTTTTTAAGGAATTGTATTTTAAAATATCTGAAAATAATTCTGCAGTTTTGCAATCAACATTAATCTTATTAATGTTAAGATGTAATTGAATTTTCATCCAATTCAATAACATTACTTTTATATCTTATCAATGTTCTAACTTATTAACTAGCTTTAAAATTCGATTTGTACACATTGTCGGTAGAGGAAGTGAACCAATACATCGATTAGTACACCACCAACTGGTTTACATCAACAGAAACCTTTTAGGCTACTTTCAGATCCAGAAATAAATAAGGAAGAAGAAAGTCTATATTTTTTATGGTAATATAGTACATTATCTAAACTTTATGAAATTAATAATACGAATGATACAATAAAGCAGTACTGGTTAGAGGGCCTATTCCGAGAACATTGAGATAATATCTATTCTAAGTTCATTCAATTCCTGTATTTCTAAAAGTATGCATTCGACAAGCTTTCTTTAAACAATTATTTTACTTACTAAAGTCGTATATCGAAATTATGTTTTGTTGTAAGATTTTTAGTGACTTTAGCAGAATTTATTTTTTCAAAATAAAAAAGTTGCTTCAATGGTATGTAATAGATCAAATTAATTTCTTTTCTTTTTGTTTCTAACAAAACAAAGAAGTACGTCTATTTTTCGTTTCTTAAAAAATTTGCAAATACTATTTTTAATTGTCATTTATGAACAAATTCATTCCTTCCAACTAAACAATTATATCATTCTCACCGATCGGATAGTGATTCACATTCTTTGAGCTATATCTGCTGCCTAATGAGAAGTAATGCAAAATTGTGGCACATATTAGTAATATTTAGAACAACACCATTTATGAGAACATCGAATTCCAATAAATTTCTGACTGGTCCCGGAGCACTGTCTCCATTTTTGGCTGTTTTTATAGCATCCTGCATATTATGTTAGTTCTTTTTATTCAATCTTTCTATATTTCAGCAGATTGTTCAAAAATTGAATTATATTATATTCAGATTGATTAAAAGTTTGAATGAAGAACATTTAATGTTTTTTAGCATTGATATTAGTTTAATATATACTACGATATCATTTTAGGTTTCATCTTCTATTACATTTAATCCCATTTAGATTTTGGTAAAATTAGGAGATTATCAGACTGTGACCATTGATTATTATTACAGTCGTTTTTTGATGATTTTTTTGTCAAAGGTTATTTCTCTACATCCATTCCGTTCAGATATATATTCTTGATAGGGGAGATATTACAGATCTAAGAGTTATTCAAATGCTCAAATTCTCAAGTCCTAGTATCTGTCTTTGCGGTTCATTTTTCCGCCTTATCACAACTATCCGCAACTCATTTTTTTGCAAAAGATCCATTAGATTGGAAAAATTTATAAACTCGATTCTAAAAATACCGTGGGAGTATTCTATTGAACATTCATTTTGTACTTTCCCGGATGAGCTATTATATGACAACGAAAAGGGTTAAAATATATATATATTTTAACCCTTTTCCTATATATATATATATATATACCGATGTTCGTTTTAAAATTACAATATAAGAAAGCTTTTTTAATACTACCAGCTTTACTAAAAATTCTCAAAAAATATTAAGTTATGGAAGAATTAAAAAAAAAAGTAAGAAATAGACAAAGAATTCATCCAATTATATGTGATATTTAAATTTTGATTTTTAATCAGGTCACATCTATGATTGAAATAATAGCATTAGCCAATTGGAAAACTGGTCAGCTAAGAATTAACGAAATCTTAGCTATATATAAAATGAATCAAATGTTGTGTCGTAATTTCGAATCACTGCCACAGTCGGTCAGTTTAAACAATTTACTGCATGTGGCAGCAAAGCAATGCATTTAAACGTCATATTACATTTAAGAATGACGTATGTCATATGCAGTTATATGTTCATCTACAAGAGTTACATAACGTTAATGAGGTACACTGGCATCTGATAAAGTTGGAGTTCTGAAACAAGGTAAGAAACATTCATTATACATAAATGTTAGTAGAAGATGCTGAGTAAACTAAAATATGTTCAAATTATAATTATTATTATATATTCCATTTCTTTAAATTGTTTTGTCATTTCTCGTTTACCATGAATTTTGCTGATAACCAGAATAAGGCTTCAGATCAATCAGAGCTCAAGAATGCTATAACAATACAACATCTATCTTTAAAACTGCTGTCAAAGTTGCAACCTGAAATTTATATATTAAGTTTTTGTTAAGTTTATCTGTAATTATTTTCGTTGATGGTTACCATTATATCGATTAAAGTAAGATTCTTCACTTTTTCATCTTAAACAACTTTGCGTCAGATCTGCCTATAAGACAATAATCGGATTTTTCAGCTCCTTTAGTTTAGGAAAGAAGGCATATGAGTTTCTAACTGGAGACAAACTGTTCCCTTCTGGAACGACAGTCAATTAGTATACTTTCTGATTTAACTGGCATTACTCTTCATCTCTATTCGAACTCCTTCCTCTACCTCACTATTTCAAAAATACTTTAGACATATGTTCGTATTCAAAGCCTTTTTAAGGCATAAAATTAAATTTAATAAAATTTACGAAAAAGGAAAAGAAACAAAAAAGTCCACTAAAGATTATAATTTCCTTGTTGTTTTCACTTGACCATTACCTTAATTAAAGTGCAGCTACGTAATTTTATGCATCCATGAAAAAAGCGATCATAAGATACGTAATATTTAGCGTCGTTTTAAATAACACTGTTGTATTATGCATACATGACTGATACCTATCATCCGCAACTTTTTTATTTCTGTATTGTATAGGAGAGAAAGAAATGAGATGTATTTTTCAATTTCAAATTTCTGCACATATCTTCTGTTACAACACTACTACTACTACTACTGCTACTATTTGTAAAGCTTTGTTCTCACGCTACTCAGGCAGAAAAATTATGGGTTATTTTTCTGCATTTATGAGACTTATTACTGTTATGTTTTATTGAACCAAACATATGAGAATAATGACAAGAAATAAAGAACAGCAAAAGATGCTAAATGAAACAGCTATGAAGCATCCGTGTAGTAATCCGTAATACTGTTGTAGAAGAGTTTTTCCAATTCAGTCGATGTTGTCATCTAAATACAAATTGTTTATAGGGTATGTAAAAATAAAGCGGACAAAGAAGTCCTTTTTTGAAAACTTATAAGAAGAGAATTTGAGGCATGAATAAGATGCGATATATTCGATAAGATTAATTCTTGATGAAGATCAAGGTTCAATCTCATTGCAAGTTCACTATGCCTTAATTGGTGACAATAGTAATTGGCTTTTGAGCAGGTATAATGCTATGGTTATGTCTAACAAGAAAGCAGTAAATAGCATGTGATTTATTCCTGGTCCATTTTGAGAGCATGATTTCAACTGAATCTTCTAAGATATAAAAAGGTTGAGTGACATGAGTGAATCTTCACTAAACAGAAATTTTGATTTGTAACTAGCATATGAGTAAGGCAGACGAAGAGAGAAGGAGAAAGGCGCAAATGATTCTTCTTTTTAGTTTGATGTAAGACTAACAAAAATGTTGCAGTGCTGGCAAAAGTTTTAGTAATCTTAAAACATCGAACTGGCTGATAACAAATGGATAGTGCAATAGATAATGGAATGACAGGAGTGAGATAAAAGACTAAAACCACAAGTCAATATGCTAGGAGGTGAGATAATAAGGAATTTGTTATGAAAGTTACCGTTGAAGTGAGATGGAGCTTCAGGTTATTATTTATCGCAAATTCTTCAGCAGCTGACAATGAAATGGCATGTCTCGATTGCAGATCACACTTACAACCAATCAGCACACCTAAAAATCTCAGACTGAAAAGTTTTTAGCCAACAGAATCTAAAAATTTGAATGAATTAGCGCAGAGTTGCTTTCCTTAAAATGTAAAATTTCGAGATTTGTCAAGTGAAATTCTCTCTTCTTATTTCTTCATAAAATAAAATTCCAAAGTAGCGGTTGCATCTTGGCCTGATTCTATTACAATTAGGAAAGCTCAAGTTTCGATTTTCGCAGCAGTTGCTAATTCCACCAATTTAATGCAAAATCCGCCATCTGGCGTCCTTTTACACTTGTATTGACAATGCATTTCATCTACTTGATCAGTGAATTGCTGTGTTGCTTAATTTCATTTTCAAAAAATTAATCTCAGTAAGCTCATGAAAATGAAAAAAGCATGAAACTCAAACTACCCACTAATATAGAATTCCAAAGTAGCGGTTGTATCCTGAACTGACTCTATTACAGTAAGGTTTTGAAAGGCAATAAATAATTTACTTTTCTGAATTCTTAGCTCTTCAAGATATGCCTTCAAAGTAGCAAGGCTATCTTTATCAGTTAGATCGAAACAGAGAGCATAAAAAGCATTTTCATCGCAAACTGGCTTAACGATCCATTTATAAAGTTCATGGCCAGCAGTATCTACCAGTACTGTATCCACGGTATGTCCACAAACTTCTAAGGCCTTGTCATACAATTCTATACCTTGAGTCTAAAATATTTTGCACGGAAAAAAATGTTTTATTATATTTTCTGAAATAAGTAATACAGAATGAAACGATAAATAATATTTCTCCTTGAAACTTATTTTACCTTTAGCGTCCAATTTATTTTGCAGTGTTGTTCTAGCTAAAACTAAGTAATTTAGTTAGTTATTAGATCTTACCATTTCATAATCTTTGCTATCAAAGTTGTACTTCCCAGTTAATATTTTTACGATTGTACTTTTACCAACTCGAACTGCCCCTGAAAACTTCGAATCAATATCCATTCTTCCTACATTTATATACATATAAATGTGAGAATATGTACATCGAATGAGGGGTAATTGAGTGATGCATATGGGATACATACATTTGATTTTTGAAGGTCAGGTTGTTATTTTCAAATAATAAATCTGATATGACCTAATGTGGTGTAAGTAGCATGGCAGTAGTTTATGATTTAGAAGCATTTTTATTGAAAAAAATATATCTCACCCAAAAATATTATTTTTTGAATGGTAACACTGCGTAGTTCCATTTCATCCCAAAGTATCAAACTTGCTCAAAACCAATAATATCCTTCGGCAATGAATCTACAAACGTTTTCAATTCTAAGCTATCAATCTATTAGAATTAAAGCATGAATTAAAAGATTACGAGTGTACTTTAGGGACAAAATGCTCCAGACGTGACGGCTGTTACTTAGTCCGCCGTTACGTGGTACAGAACGTTAATTAGCGCATCAATGTTTGATTAATAAACATCAGGTCTTAAAACTCAAACAAACTTTTGAATCTTTGACACAGGCATGAATTTTTCGGAAGAAGCAGAGGTATGAAGTGCACTTTTCTCGATACCATGGCAACAACCAATAATATTCGTTAAATACCCGCTGCTGCTGTTTCAGTCTATTAAACTTTTAAAATTTATAGTAAAATAAATGAGTAAAATTGTCTTATGCATATTTCAGTAATTTTTCGAATTTTTTTGCTTGAAAACAACAGAACAGCTGTGCTTTACGGAATCAGGTTACTGCCAAGTTTCGGAATCAAATTTCAATGAAATCATAAAGAAACATTATAATTACAATGATTACAGCTTAACTTTATATGCTCTCTCAATCACATCGTAATTCCGTCCCGGTCTTCTCAGACTTTAGGAATCCATCCGCCCCTCCCTCCCATACAGGAAGATGGAAAGATAAAGGAATTCGATATAGCGCTGCAATTAAGGTGCACCGTTTGCTGGACACAGGCCAAATGTTGGAGAAGACGAGGGGTTTCCCGAGATTTGGATTTTTTATTTCCACCATCATTTAATGAGGTTTTGAAGGTACCGAAGATATCACGCAGACTTTACGTTTAAACATTTTACATTGGTTGTTGTATGATCCGTTTTGTAATTTTATGCCCTGTTTTATGAAAAAATTGTCATATTCCAAGACTTCTCGGGTTCACGGGTTATCTATCCACTTTTCATCCGAATAGTCAGACAGCGTAATTTTAAAGGAATGATTAATGTTGCAATAATACATAATTATTGTACTTCGTAGTGTTTTTTTCAAACTTTTACATATACAGTAAATATTTCCATTTTAATTCCGGCAATTTTATTGCAGAAATTTTTGAGAAGGAATAGATATACGAAGTTGCTATCGATGTTCTTCAATCTTCAGCATCTTTCAGGGAATGAAACATCGAACTGAGCGATAAATTGACAATCAGTGAGTTTAAAAGCGATTATTACATAATTATATTCACAGCATGATTTCTTCCACTTTTTTTTTGAAAACTTTTAGCTATAATAGCTGAAGGAATTACCTTATCTTTGGTAGATGCGTGTATCACATAACAGGTATGAGTGGAATTGTGCGCTCTCGTATCCTCTTCTATATCTTGAGGTTATTTAATGATTATAACAGGGATTTTTATAGATAGCCGTCATTTTAGCTCTGATTTCTCTTTCAAATGATCCATGCCACAGCTTATAACACTGGCATTAGGAAGACATTTAAAAAATTCCTATACGTTTAGTTTAGCTATTGAATAAAGCTAAGTTCATTTGATTATAAAGGCTTAATTTCGTTTCTTCTAAACTTAAATGTCCTTTTAAGTGGACATTTCACGTCCTAACTAATATTTCAGAGATATTGATATGATTCATTTTGCTACTTCTTCGTTTTTTCTTTCCCTGTGTATTTAATGGATTTTCCTTTATTTTATTTCTTACTACTTTTTTGGCTTAATCATATTCTATTGGAACATATTTCGAAATTATTTTAATTATCAAAAAGTGGAAAATATATAGAAGCTGATGTGTTGTTGTCTAAATTGATTAGTAAATATCATTTTACCAATATGATATTTCATGTGCTGACCAGCAGACACATCAGCTCCTTTTTAATTTAATTCACGATTTAAATCAGCGAAGAAAGTAAGTTTTTCCTCGTTGCACAGCTGCCTGCATTGGAGTGAATATGCGGAGTAGGAACAATGTGTAGTCGTACTGTATGAAAAATATACTTAGTGCATAATGTTTTTTTATTGACCATTTATTTTGTTTTGGATTTCATTTTGCACTCTTGCTACTTCGTGATTGGAAAGTGGAAACAATGTTGAGCACGGAAATACATATGTTTTAAAAAAATCAGTACTGGTTTAATTATAAAACAGTAGTAGGTTTGTGGAATTGTTTTTCATAATTTAAACCAAATTGATTCTGCTAACTTGTGTTCAATAAAAACGAGATCGCTACATTAACATCCCAACTCCCGTTGATTAGATCAATGCAATATCTTGGTTTCACTTGACATTTTTTTCCTATCATTGTGGCTTTTGTGAAGGACAATTTTCTGTTTAGAGAGAGGAAGTACATATCTGTGTAATTAATTGCTTTTCTCATGATCTTCATATCTTCTAGTAAAAAATGGTGAAATATGAGAAAAATGGTGAAATATGGCTATGTTGTGTTAGCTTATTGAGCACGGTAATTATGAAAAATTTGATAATCAAACTTGATGCAAACGTGATACGGATGGTTTCTGTATATCATAAGTTGTCACAAGCTGTTTTTCCTCGCAGTTCTCCCACTATCAACAAAGATGCACGTCTTGTTTTTCAGGACGCTGCTATTTGAATGTCTACATTTATTTATGTGAATAGGTTGTAAATGAAATGTTAGGAAGCTAACAGATGTGAGGAAATATGCGGGGTTTTAGGGAAAGGGTCTTAGATGAGAGTAAGTTTTTAAATTGATTGAATTTGTTGATGAGTGAGTGGCATTGAATGAGAGACATTCGTTGTTCTGATGACTTCCGAATAAAGGGAAGAATCTGTGTGAAATAGCTGAATTGGGCATTTGGTTTCAGGAGTGGGACACATTTCTATTGAATTTGACGATATATCTATAAAAGCTAGTAGTAGCAATAGCCGCAGCTTTTCATGATGAAAAGCTGTTTAGTGAGTGCTAGCTTGCTCGGTTAAGGAAAGCACTCGTCCTCAATTACAGTGAGGTGCGAGTGGAGTGGTCGTGGTGGTGTGGTGTGTATGTGAGATGCGGCAAGATATTATGAGGAAAGGGAGGAAGAAATGGAGAGTCTTGTGTTGCTGTTTCTTAACTCCTAGAGGGCCTTTGGAGCTGGCGGTGTGGTGTATGGTGGTGTACGTGGTTAGATCCATCTTGCCTGGGGACGTTATTCTGATGGCGGTGGCGACAGCGAATGTGTTGTGCTGACTTAGAAGCATTGCTTAATGAAAGTTTTAGCCTTGGGCGTTGCACTGCATTGATTAATTAATAGGAAGGGGAAGTGAAGAGTCCAATCGTGGTTTCCACAATGATAACGGTAAGAAGAATGAGAAGGAGGAGGTGATAGTGGCAGTAATGGTGGTACAGACAAGCGACGTAGCAGGCTGAGGACATTTTAGGGATGGTCCATGGATGGATGAGAGTGGTTTAGATGAACGAAGGGTGCAAATAATGGAATCAGGGAAGAGTGGCGGCATTTGCTACTGGTGAGGACAGGAATGGATGGATTATAGGTGTCTGCATTGGGAGCCTAGTGAGTGCAGAGACGCCTTTTCATGAAAGTGAGAGCTAGTTGGGTCTTCTTATCCTCTAGCTCAACTTATTAGTGGTATATTGATACCTGTCGAGTAGAAGATTTAACTTTGATTGATGAGTATAGTTGGAGTGGACGACTCGCCCTGAAGAGGCACATGGATTAAATTTCGCTGCCGCCGGCTGCTCCCTCCATTCGATTTTTGTTTGTGGCCGCTGAGAAGAGAAGAGACCGTGTAATCGGCGATGCCCGTAATTCAATCCGGATGGCAGCACTTCGTGTGGTGCGCCTTGATGATGAGGCTCTCCTCAGTGCACTTCTTTTCACTTTGTGGTCATTAAGCTCCATTGCCTAACACTACGATCTACTGTCTTCACCTGCTACTGGTAGTGGTTGCCCAATCTTGTTATAAGTTGGTTCCAATTGCAATATTTTTCTGTTCCGGGTGGTCATTAATATATTGTATTCCTATAGTATCAGCAATGGTGATCTCATTTCGAGTGATATTCTTGACATGGTCTACAACTACCCATTTGTCGTAATTATTACTATCTGCTTATTTTAGTGCCGTTGTTTTCAGGCTTGGCTATGCTACCACACTAAATACCTTCTTGCTGTTTAACGAAGCAGTGATATATCGCCGCACTTTTTATTGGAAATACTATGCTATCGGAAGCAGAATATCATGCATTTTTAAAATTCATAACCCGAAATCTGGCCTTAGGTGTCCACTGGCTATATGCTGCATCATTTATTTAGCAAACAATCTTACTGGTAGCAGTGGAAAATGATGCACAGATTCACAGCACCTTGTAATTGATGAATTACATGACATCTCACATCGTCTTGGTCTTTTCATGCCTTGCTTTATCTCCTCTTTCACGCTATTAGCTTATAAGTCTATTTCGAGACCCGATTAAACTGTTAGGAAATCTAATTTTTAAACATTTTTAGTTCTCTTATTCTATGCTACTTAGAGAAAAATGCATAAATCAGTTCATTTCTTTCTATAAAATTTTTTAAAATTAGAACTTCGTTCCCGTTTGCTTACTTTTTACTCTCATTCCTTTTTTACTCTCATCCCACTCCTCTTTTAAATTGCTTAATTAAATATGAAAGTTTCGTTTAACAAAGAAAACATTGAATTAAATGGTTTGTAGAGACGTACGCTCAACGAAATGTTAGGTGCTAAATATTGTCCTTGTTCCACGCACAGATTTTTAAATGCTTCTGTGGTCGCTTTGAAATATATTGTTAGCTTTTGTGCTTACCTAGGAAGTTATAGCCAACTGGAAGGATATATAGTGGATATACACGTATGCTGCTGCATCCTTATTATCCAGTATTTCAATCATTGGCTTCTGTGTTTGTTCCTGCTAATGATAGGTTCTTGACTTCTTTTATAATTAGTTGTGGTGCAAACTAAATCAGGAACAGCGATTTAGTAAAGCCAAGAATTTTTTTTGGCGCTGAAATGTTTCCAGAACAAACGGAAATTACTTAAAACCTAAGAAGTTCAGAAAGATACGTAGGAAATTAATAAAATTTAATTAAATGGATCAGATTAATAGTAGAGGAAGCAAAAGCGTTGAGATGGGGATGTTTTGAACGGGTTGCTGGGGTTTTGCTGTTGTAGGGAGAATGTTATTGAGTGCTGTTAAGACATATATGAGATTAATATTAGCACGTAAAGGTAGATGTTGTGGGGATAGAAGTAGACTGATAGGTAATGCGTAATTATCAAATGAAGTAGTGCAGGGAGGAGGGAGTATTGCTACTACTTAAGGGGCTAAGTACGAAATATCAGTTATCAATCCATACATAGATGCTAATACTTTTCATGCTTCTTCATTTGTATACGTACGATGTATGCTTCATGCATAGTTACCCCATAATGGGCCGTTGTCTCCTCGCTACTGTAGATATTGGTGTAAGCTTAATGAAATTAACATTCGTGGATGTGTTAAATGGTTGCAGCGCGCTGCTTCAGCGCATGTCTGATGCCTACCACCTGTGGCTTCCCGAATTGTAAATTTCGATCCCGCTATCGCGGCCAAGAAGATAATCGACATTTCTATCGAATACCCAAACGACCACAGGTGTTGCGGCAACGTTGGTTACTTGCAATTGGACGAACCGAGGATACCGTTGTTTCACAGGTCAGGATGCACCCGTTGTATTGCTTCCTGTGTACTTGTAATCCCCTGTGTAAACAAAGAGCATGCGAAAACCATATTCATGCTCATAATTTTGCATGTTTTATTTACATACTTGCATGCATAATTAATTTTTCTAAAAATTTGCGCTTCATTCAAAGGTGTTCGCTTATCGTGATTTATTTAATAGTTAGAGTTTACATGGAAGAAGTGTTTGAAGTCACAAAAGTAAGCAGCTAATTGGTATGTAAAGTGTAACATTCTAATCTTTGTTGCTTATAAGGGCACTAGTGAAAATAGGGTAGTCTTCCTATGCGTTGCATCCGAAAATCACTAATTGTTAACTTAATGCAATTTACACTTTTTCGACACTTCAGGCTCTTTATAGGATTCAACACGTGAATTTCTACTTCCCCTGCTAAGATCTGATGATTATACTGCTGTTTGCTACTGCTAACTCTCTTCTGCATCATGTCTTTTTATTCACGCTGCTTCTTAAGACATTTTAATATGTTAAGAAAATACGTTTCGCCGAAGCGTCTCACACCATTATACGTCATTATCGACTCTTGACCTGAAGGTTAGGATGCCTTAGCCAAACATGGTCAACTTGCCTGTGCTTATGCAAACCAAAATAAATTTAAGTCATTGATGGTTAGACATTAAATGATTTCCATTTATGTTTAGGATAGAAAGGAAATAGTCTTATAAGGTAAAAAAAAAAAGCTTTAGACTAGAAGGGAGCTCCACTTCCTTAGGTAATTAGCGGTCGTCGGTACTGGTGAATTAACATTAAATTTGGATATTTTTAGTTCGAGAAAAAAAATCACTACCGCACCATGATCGTAAGCGAGGACTCATCATATTGAGCAGTTTTGAAATTGGTTTTGTTGAGTCCTACTGATTCTAAATTGATTTATTAAAGCCTTCAAACTTCTAACACTTGTCTTACTGATTTGTTCAATTTTAGTTCTGTGGACTTTCAACTGTAAAATAAAAAAACAAAATGCAGTACCATTGCGTTTTCTGCTAATGATAGTAATGGTAGTCTCAGTGCGAGGAATTAAAGCGGAAGGTTCAAATATAGATAATGCTGCCTTTATTCTATCTAAGATAAATAGAGATTGCAGCATTCCAAATATTTGTTTGCTTTTGATTTGGATTAGAATGGATGCAAGCTCATCCAAAAGCAGTTGTAGTGCTTTTTTATTTTCAATTTCAACCTGAAATGCATTTATTCGAGACACTTTTTTGTCACTCTGTGCCTTTAAATAAAGTCAGTTATCAAATTATTAAAATCATGGAGTAGAACTTGTCTCTTCGGCTGTCGTAACGCACTTTCATTATCGTTTGTTAAGAATACTGCAGTGCACACACTTAGCGGCTGTAATCTTTTTTTCATTTGCAAAAGTGACAATAAATTAAAAACTTTTCCAATGTATATTAACCATCAAAAGGAGATGTTAACATTAACTGACGTTATGGAATCCACTGCTTTGATCTGCTGCTTCCAATTCTTTATAATTAATTATTCACCTCTTTCAATTTTCAGGTTTTCACAATTCACTCAAGTTCACTCCTATTTATTCAAAAATAAAAACAACAAACAATAAATGACTTTTCCCAGTTTTAGTAGTTCCAAAGGATCGGGAAAAACAAGTTTCGAAATATTCGTACTCTGATTGGTTGTGCCTTCTTAAAACTGCGTAAGAGGGAAAAAGAAGGGTATGGTATGGTTTATAGCTTAAAATCGTACTTCAGTCGATTTAGCATTTCACGCATGTTGTAGAAAATCCGACTATATCTAGATACTTAACTGCATGCAAAATGTTTGAAAATTACGTAATATGGAAGTATCCTAGAGATGAAGTATGTGATTCTGGTCCAGTACGTACCTTACTATTTAGAACAGCCGAAGACGATTAGCTTTTTAAACGCGTTATTTTATCGCTGCAACTGCTAAAATTTAGCTGAACTTATTCCATATTTTCACACATACAAACAAGCAGTGAATTTGCTCAAGAATTTTATGAGGAGTTTGAATATATGCTTCATTCCACTCTTTTTGCAGCACATTAAACAACTTTTGTTCAGATTGGTTCTCTATCCAGCTTATAAAATCAAACTGTTTCTGTCGAACTTAAATTATGAAAGGAGAGCAATGAAGCATAGCGCTGGCTAATCCTTCAGCAGATCTGTTTTGCACCAAAAAAGCCTTACCTTTTCCCTACATGTGCATGCTTAAAAAATTATCGACACAGTTCTTTGCATGGTCATCTGTATGTATTAAGTATTCTTCGAATCGTGGATCATATCAAATTCCTATGGAGCGGAACACATGCTCTTGAAGCGTTAGTTTTTCCCCCTAATTTTGATGTGTGCAATAAAATAAATAGAAGTACAACAGTGACCCGTAGTAGTATTTCATGAAAGTTTATGAATTAGAGAAATGTGAAACTGTATACGCATGTCGGTTTGCAGATAGCGTGTTGTAAACCTGGAGCACAAGGCTCGACAAGGCCAGCTCTGAGCACTCTTCACTACATGTTTCCTTCCGGTAAGAATGCATTAATCACCTCTCCCGAAGCTTTTTTTTAATTTTGATTTTTCTTTTTTGTTGTTTGGCTATTGTTTGACTGATGTATTAGAATAGTAATTGTATGACATCTATGTATATGTGTATGTTCCTATCTGTTCAATGAACACCCTTGTACCGGTCACAATTATGCATGGTTAGTGTGTCAGCGAATGAATATATTTGATCAAACTGTAAATTCCTCACTTTCGCATTCAATTTAAGTATATTAACGTAAAACCGTTTTTGTTGATTTGCATTTGAGGAAAAAAACGACACGGCTTTTAAAGTGTTAATGTTTGACGAAACGTCTTATAATTGACAGCAATTTAATTTCGGGTAATTTCTTGCTCATTTTTTAAAAGTGAATGTTGCAATTCATGTATATCAATGGCCTAATAATTTTCTGTCATCAAGAATCCTTGAAATACAAAAGCAAATTTGGATAATAATTTTTCGGATAATAATTTTCGCTTGTGAATGGCAGGAATTATTTAAGTAGTTTTAGAATCTGGAATAATTTCCGAAATACGACATTTCATAACCCTTCGATTGATTCCGAATGAAGTTCTGTTAAGTCAAAATTTCTTAAGTTTTTTAAAATCTAAAAACACTTTGCAGCATTTTTAGATTTCAAAAATATGTGATTTGCTCATATGTGACTTGCAGTATTTACTTTCAAGAGAAAGTGAAAAAACTCCCACAAATTTGCATCTGAACCATTATTCCTGCTTTTAATTCATAGCATTTTAATTAATTTTACTTTCATTATGGAGTTAGCAAAAGTTAGAGCTGTGTTCTCTTTAGCGTTCTATTACTACATATACGTCCGTTTGTGTTATCTGTTCAGTATTTTAACCTTCTCCGAAGAAGCAGCATAGAATTAGAGCGCTGTTATTTGGTTAATATTCTGGTCCTATAGGACTGGGAAATGAACTCTTGGAAAAAAAAGAAATACAATGACTCCGGGAGAGAACTCCGGTGCAGTGAGTCTTTCTGAATTAGTTTAACATGTCAAATGCTTAAGGCTTGCTAAGTTTAGTTATCAAGACTGTTATAACCGTCTGGTTATTCAATACCTCTCGTGACAAATCAGTATTTCGAAGATGTCGTGTACATTCAACAGTTGATTAAGTCATGATTTGGATTTGTTTTGGCTTTTGAAGAATTCATTTCATTCGAATAACAACAGCCAAACTATTGTCGGGTTAGACTTCCTGAAGATGTTAAATACCTGGTCAGGAAGCAGTTCCATAAATTATAGAATGTAAACAGTAGAAGTGATTGCGTTGCTTAACTATTTTAATTTAGTAAGCGATCTTTTTCAAACTCATTTCATTTGTTTCGTTTTTATGGAATACTATTATTTTTCTTTCATTGTATTTCTTGATTTATTTTATGAAGTTCCTTACCACTTGAATTTGCTGTTGCTCCAGAATCTGGTAATCTGTCACAGCATTGATTTTCCATTCATATTTTTCCGTCTTAAAGAAAAATAAAAAGAAAACCGTTTTGTTGCTAGTTAATTCAGGAATAATATAATTAATTCGGAAGACGAATTTTCACTCCCTTCTTGAGTCCATTTTCGTAAGTTGCGTTCTTCTGTGGAATTCAACTTGAGCACCATTTCGCAGCAAATTTTTTGACCAAAATCATGTCAGAGCTAGCAGGACATACTTCCAGAATGCTCAAGCAAGTCAAAAAATCGGTAAGCATCGCAGATCGACATCTTTAGCTTTTGTCGAGGAAATGATGTTCTGGCTATTCATGCCTTTCATTGATGTCATCTATGCGTTGCCTGGGAGCAGTGCTAGTGAGTCTAGAGAGGAATGTGGCTTAAATAGTTTCATACAATTTCTGGTATATTAGGAGTTCCTGTAAAAAGGTTCAAGAGTTGTGTAATAATAAATTAACTGGTATTATTGAAATTCATGAAAATAGTCATGTAGAATATGTAATTTAAAAAAGTCACGTTAATAAATGGGCCTTAGGACTTTGTAGCGAATTATAAGTTAGCACGGGTTATGTGGGATTTGAGGAAAATTCTCATCAGAATCATCGAACTGTACATTTACACCAATTGTTTCATCTATTTCATCTTGATTGTCGAATTTCCCTTTCTCGTCATCGACTGAAAAATCTGTTATTTTCTTAGCGAGATTAATCAGCACAGCAATTCTTTCGTCTGTCAGCAATCCAAGAAGAAGTTCTACCTCTTTCTTACGATCCTTTTCACGAATCCTGTCTGACTTTAAAACTGCCAGGTTATAGCTCAGCAGAATCGATAGAGCGACAGGACGCCATAATGAAGACTCTTTCTATTTGCAGATATGGATCTTTACTATACAATTTATTTGCTTCCGGAATTTCATAATTTCGTAACTGTTGTTGCTTGCAAGAGTTCGTATCTCGTATCATTAGTTCAGCAGATTAGTTGGCGATAGTATAGCATTTGTGTGTTAAGTTTATAACATGACTCTCCCAGAAACTCTGTTGATTTATTTCCAGTTAGTCACTGCGTTGTTACCCATCTTTATTCCCATCTTGACGTTGAACGAATTCCTGTAAATTCGTTTTGTGTATTGAAGCGATTGTTTTCAAAAGGCGGTTTTGATAATAGAAAGCTTTTGAATAAGGTGGCGGTGATATCTTTCCCTTTTTGTTTAAACGACTTGAGAATTCCTTCCGTTTTGAGGTTTGTAATGTTGAGGCATTTATTTGTCTTCATTTATTTTTAGAAATAGAAAATTTTTATAATATTTGACCAGAGTTTGCTTTTATAGTATTACGAATTTTATTTCAGCTACGCATTTGTTCGGCACATTTCGAAGGGGGCGAGAAAAAGGAAGGTGATATTCCTGTGCCGGATCCGCAGGTTAGTAACCCTTCCTTAACCGTTTCAGTGCGTTGGAATGATGCTCATAGGACCACGCTTTGTGAACACTCATCACTGCATCACTGAAAAACCTTGTCCAGGTTTTTTCTTACAGAGTTTTCAGCAATCAAAAATCAACCACTTACCTGTCGTATCGGATTATCAAAATTGTAGGGTTTAGTAATCAGCGTGTTTCCAAGGATAACTGTTCGAACTTGAAAGGAAAAAGCAGTAGATTTAGGATGACAAGATGGTATATTAGCCTATTACTTTGAAATCATGAAGCATTCTTGTATATGCCTTCTTGACGAAAGTGGAAGGATGACAAAGTGGGAGGGAGGCAAAGGGTGGAAGAATGGGAATGTGGCTGTGTTAGGTGGGTAGGGTGATGCAATAAAATAAATTCATAGGGGTATTTGTTGCAGTTGGACGCACCGATCTCGATTGAGCTCCCGCCAAAAGAAACAAAAAGCAGCGATCGACGACGAGGACTCCAGCAGCCGAGGTCATCAGCTCGTTCTGCACCCTGCTCCAACAGCTCCGCAGCAAGCACCTCCGTGAAACGAGGTCGTTCATTGGCGGTCACCGCTGATTATTTGGCTAGCTGGAAGAATCGCTCCGTTACTGACGGTCACTTCTGGTTTTTTCCTTTTTTTGTAATCCCTCTCCATCGCTGTCTCATTTGGCGACCTTATAGCATATGTCACTAAATGCCGAAGCATTTCTCACTAATACTTTGAAGTTAGATTAATCAAAGATTATTTTCATTTTTTATAAAAGAATAATATGGACGTAAAAATCCCTTGGATTTGTGCATGCCTTATATATTGTATTATATTAGATATATAGGGTATGTTTGCAAATAATCGCCCTGGCAACCTGACATTAATTTTTTATTTTGTTGTAACGACGCTTCCAGGCAAATTTATCGTCGTTTAGTTCATTTAACGTGAAACATGTTAAGTATCTAATTATAAGTAACGGAACGGCTATATCTTGGAAAAATTCTTCATGAGAAAAATGGCATATGGCATTGTCTTTAAATTACGTAAATTTCTGTTTATTCGAAAAAAGTATTGAGGCTTGTTCATTATTATGGAACCTAATTAAATTTCAATTATGGGACATATTAATGATAACAGCCATGTTCCCCCAAGTCTTATTACGTTCTTTTGTGAACGCAAGGTATTCTCATGTTGTCTACTCTCTAGTTATTTCCTTCTCATTTCTTTTCTTTTGAATCTTTGTTTAAAGTCAACCTCATTTCTGTGTTTTGATCTCATTTGCTAAAGGTAAATTTTCAACTTAGGAGTTATAAGATTGAGGATTAGTCAGATAATAAAGCATCGCTTTGAAATTCATTTTTCATAATGCAGAAAACTCGAAAAGCTTGGGGAGGGAAGAAAGAGGGAGGATGGGAAATTCTCGGGCGGATGGGTGGGCTTTACTATCGCATTTCCAGCAACTAAATTAAGTGCTGAGTACATGCATTGAGCACTGCTGCATTATTGGACGGCAAAAGTTTGATCTGGGATAATTTCTGATAAAAGCTATCATTAGGATTTCCTAATTCTGAACGATAATACATTATATAATAGAAAAGTTGCATACCAGGTTAGTATAACTGAAAGTAGTAACATCTCTTTCGTTTTTGTGAAATCATAAATGAGTTCAATTAGCATTGGTTATGGGCTTAGGTATACACATGGATAATACTTGGCATAGTGATTTCTTTATAGGTTTCTTAATGGTCGAAATGTTTACAATCCTGATTTTAATTTATTTCTGCGTCTTTAAACTAAAGGAAATAATGATAAGGAGGGAATGAATGTGGAGTAAAGTTATGCTTGAATGAAGTAGGAGGATGTCATGTAAAGGTAAGGAGCAGATGCACCTTCAGGCACTGCTTATTAATTAATAGTAATTATTTGAATGACTGCAGATTGTAACTCGATTCGCACCTGTCACAGTAAGCAACGGCATCATCGTTAAGCAGTTAACCGAAGGACAAAGGTCAGCAGATCTCCGGGAAAAGGAGGGGAGGGACGGGGAAGGTTAAGTAGTTGGGCATCACCGATATATACATATGGCATGCATCGGGTCATCATCCATCCATCCATCCATCGGTCAGTCCATCCGTCCGTCCGTCCCTTATCCCAAACAAGAAGCCCACACTCATCCTGCTCCGTCCTCTTTTAAACTCCATGTAGCTGCTGATGGTGATGTTATAGGTGGAGCGGGGGCGCTGCCCCAGCCAACCACCCACCCATCTTGGCGTCTTCCTTTTGCATGTGCAACTGAGAGTATGTCTGTGTATGTGTATGTTTGTGAGTGAATTAACAAGAGCGCCTCTTATAGATTCAAACCCTCCGTGCAGCTCACTTCGCTTTCCATCATCCTCCAACAATAATAACGCTGCTGCTACCACAACTGCTGCCACCACTACCACAACTGCTGCCGCCGCATCAGCCGAATCTTCAACTGACCTCGGACACAATCATTTCGTCGCAAATATACTAACCAGTAAGCACCACTTTTTTTATTCACTGATGTGCATTTTCTATTGTTGAATGTTTATTTCAGTATGATCTTCTCTGTCATTGCTCCTTTATACATTAAGCGTTATTCTTGGATATAGAAAGGAAACTTACTAAGCTTCGAATCCATTCGGAAACATCATCCAAGCGAGTTCAGTAGTGTTAATTAAGTAACAGCTATTTTCTTAAGTTAAATTATTAGTGAAACACTCATTGTATTTCCTATGTTCGCACTATGATACTATATTTGGTTATGTATGGATTCTAACTTATTGAATACTGTTTTGTCTGGTAAGAGATGGAAAGGGGATATTTTATTAGCATTAGAATAGAATTTGGATAACCACGAAAGACATGATTCGTACAGGTCATCATGCACTCTAGCTTGCATTCATATGCATCAAAGCAGATTTCTTTGGCAAGCGCACTTTAGGGTAAAGGGCAGATTTTTATATTTGATGAAGTATAACTTTTATGTGACAGGTACAAAAACAATATGCACGGCGCAAAGTACTCTACATGGTTTGATAAGAAATATGTAAAGGGTTATTATTGCTTTAGCAGGTTATAAAATGCACTATAACAAAATAATTCGCTATCGTCTTTCACAGTAGTCTTTAATTTATGATATGTATTAGACATTTCTTTTCTAATGTTTAGTGAGTATTACGAGTCAATTTGATAAAAGATGATAATTGTGACGCCTTTAATAGTCACTTTATTTACAGTGAGCGGTCGTATGTCGAATGGCGCCACAGGACGTCCGCTGGTTGCACTTCTGGATGGCCGGGATTGTACCGTTGAAATGCCAATTTTAAAGGATGTAGCAACGGTAGCATTCTGTGATGCGCAATCTACTCATGAGATTCATGAAAAGGTGTGGGTTTTTGATAAGCATATATTGTTTTGATATTTGTTTTGCAGTATATATTGTTTTGATAAATAAACCTCGATATCATCTAGCTTATTCTTCAAAATCGTGATTTTTAAAAATTTTAGGTTCTTAATGAAGCGGTTGCTGCATTGATGTGGCACTCAATAACGCTTGAACGCGAAGATTTAGAAAAATTTAAAGCACTGCGGGTAGTTGTACGGATCGGTACAGGTACTGATAATATTGACGTGAAAGCAGCAACAGATCTCGGTAGGTTTACATTTTTATGATGAATATAAGCTGCATTTTTGTGTTTGTTATTTTGTATGAAATGTGCCTTTCTTCTGAAAGTCCGTTTGTGAAAGTCTTTTCTTCTGTAAGTCTTCTAAAATACTTCTGAAGTAGGTGATTTTTTCCATTGGAACATTTTGAAATCAGTAATATGCCTAGGAATTTGGAGCTAGAACAAAAGGAAAAATTCTGCATCAAGAATGTCGGAAAAATAAATGATTTCTTCGTGGTCCAGTTCGAGAAAAGAAGGACTACAACTTCCGAAGTTGTGGTTTAAGGAGATTAACAGTATTCTTAAGTTCCTTTTGTTACATATAGATTTCTTAGATGTGTGATGAGCGGGTGGGTTAATGGGTTTTAAGTCATAACGTTAGCAAACTAATCTTTACCAGTGATAATTATACAAGATGATACCATAGTCTGTCTGCATTTCATTATAGCCACATAAACGTAGGGAAAATATTTTGTTTAAACTAAAGCGTATTAATTATTCTTTCTATTTCTGGTTATGTGCCTATCCTTTGAATTTGTTACTGTCTCTTCGTAGCATTTTCTGAAGACTTAGTTCATGATATGAATGAAATAGTGCATAAGGTATTGTTGTTGTCTGTAAAATCGTTCACCGTGATCTTAACCTTTTGAAGGTCATCCATATGTGTGTTTGTTTTCATTTTAACTAATGCTAATCCAATATATCATTCTCAAAATATTATGTTTTAGGAAGTTGTTTAAAAATCTTTTGGGTAGTGATCACTCTTCATAATGGCTTATCTATTTGCTATGAGCATGGGGAATTTAACATTATCCGTGGTATATTGGACTGAGGTACATCATCCTAGATTATATTTTTCACTGACCCTCCGACCAGATCTTTCCGTACGTCATAATAAATCTTCGTCCTTTCTTGTCTTCATTTTTTCTTTCCGTATCTTTTTGCTTGTGTATTCTGTTATAAGTAACTTAAAAGGACAGATGGAGTCTTCCATTTTCGTGAATCGTCAGTATTTAATTGTTTCATCAGTATATCTTATCGGTCATAAATCAAAATTACTATTGTTACAACTAAAATTTAAATTCAATTCTGTAAACTAGATTGAATTCTTTTTCAGGGATTGCTGTATGTAACACACCCGGTGATTGTGTTGAAGAAGTAGCCGATACAACAATGTCGTTAATTTTAAATATGTATAGGAAAACATTTTGGTTGGCGAAAGCAGTTTCAGAAGGGAAAAAGGTGCTTATACACTTTATTTATATCCGACTGCACAAGAAATTATGTTTAGACTTTTTTGCCAGTTCTTGAGTTCTTAGCAGTTTATGGGTTCAGTAATATCAGAAAGTATCAAGATCAGAAAAAACTCCATGTAGTTTCATTTTTCCTTTTTAAAGTTTTCAAAAAGCAAAAAAAAGAAAAGCAGTTAGCGAATTTCACTAACAACTTTTTCCTTTGTGAGGTGTTGCATGAATGCAAATTATTAATTTCGCATCGCATTGCATTTTTAGGTTAGTGGTGTAGAGCAGGTACGCGAATTGGCTAGTGGTAGTACACGAATTCGCGATGATACTTTGGGTATTATTGGTCTTGGTCGTGTAGGTACAGCGGTAGCGATGCGTGCTAAAGCGTTTGGATTCAAAATTTGCTTTTTTGATCCGCATTTGCCAGAGGGCGTCGACAGGTCGTTGGGTATTGAACGCTGTTACAATCTCGATGATATTTTATTCAAATCCGATTGTATAACGTTGCATTGCCCACTAACGGACGAAACGAGGCATATGATCAACGATGTTAGTTTTCAGCTTTAGTTACTTTCTTTTGGTTATCGGGAATTAAAAAATCATCTGTTAATGGTAGTTTTGCATTGAATTGACTTCATTAAAGTGTAAGCAGAGCTTGGTACATGATAAAACTGAGGTATAGCTCTTCCCTACATTAGATACTGGATTTGTATTGGGAGCTTTAAATATAAATTTTCGATACATGGGTGTAGGCTATGCTTAACAAGGATAGAATAATAAGTTTTTTTATTCTTCCTCATATGCTAAATGTTATAAATAGCTGGTTTCTCTCAGCTAGATGACAGGATTAATCCATAAGATAAACTTGACTTCGATCATTTAGAAGTAAAATAGGTTTGTAACATAAGTCTGTATGACTGTGCATCTGAGTATTACCTAAAGGATATTTAATCCGCTTAATGCTTTTTTAGTATATCTATATTTTCGCATGTCTTGAACCGTATATTATAAGATGACCTGGAAGAGACTTTAATTATTTTGATACGAATTATTTTACATTTTTACATGTTCCCGTGGCTTTTTGTATCTGTTACTTCATTGTACTTAAATTTTAATAGAAATCATCTATATATTCTATGTCATAACTTTTCACTGCTGCAGATGACAATCAAGCAAATGCGACCAGGTGCGTTTATTGTAAACACTTCGAGAGGTGGTCTTATTCAGGAAAGTGCATTGGGTGAATCGCTTAAATCGGGGCATATTAAAGCTGCAGCACTTGATGTCCATGAACATGAACCCTTCGATCCCCTTGCCATGGGTAACGTTTTGCACTATTGTTAAGATCGTTCTTCGCTTTCGAAACTTCATTGTTAATAGAGGATGTTTTATCGCGTGTATTTATACGCATCCAAAATTGTTCCTAACAGAAATTTCTTAGGACCTTTATCGGCTGTACCGAATATCATCCACACTCCTCATTGCTCATGGTATTCGGATGCTTCGTGCAAGGAATTGCGTTTATCAGCAGCACGAGAAGTTCGGCGAGCTATCGTTGGTAGATGTCCTCATGATCTCAGTAACTGTGTCAATAAGGAAGCTCTCCTTGCTGGACATACTCGGAGGCCAACATCATCTACATCCTTAGCGCCGAATGTATCGAGCTCATTTAATCCTTTGATGCCATCATTTGGGACGTCTATCGCTGATGGTAACTTTTATACTTAATGTGATTTTTGTGAATGCTGTCCAGGAATTGCAGCTTTTTGAGATAATTAGCAAACATTATTTACTCCCCATTAATTTTCCAGTTATATTTGTACAGTCTCATTTTCTACTTTAGGATTTAATGGCTTACCAGTTGGTGGCAATTTGCCATCATTTCCTTATTCGAATCCACTGTTAGCGATGAGCAACCCATTATTGAATCCTTTGATGATGAATCCTAGTACAGCTGCATTAGCTAGTTTTGCAAATGCTGCGGCGAATACACCACACAGTAGTCCGGCTGCTGCACTTTCAACATTGGCTGCTGCTTCATCTGCAATGACAACTAGCGTTGCACCGGTTGCCAGGCAATCACCTGCGGTTCAGGTATCCCACTCACCAAAGGTTATCTTCATATCTTTTATTTTTAACCATTTTGATTTTGAAAATAGTAATCACTCTGTTACGATATAGTTCGAAAACACTAGACCTTAATCACTATTCTAATGCATAATGAGTAGCGTTTTATTTTTTTTTAGGCAAATAATAACAGTCGTACTACGGTTTCACCAGCTGCAAGACCGACATCCTCACCCGATGGCCTAGCTGAAGTAAAAGATGATACTCCACCTGCACAACAGACTAGTTCGCAGCCTCATCTAACCTCCAGTTCATCTTCGGCGGCATCACCTTGTAGAAGTCCAGGAGCATCTAATTTACCTAAGGTTAGTCGATTTTTTTTTCGCGCTCAAGTTGGTAGGTTATTGTTGCCTCCACTCATGTCAATAACTCTGTCTTATTTGTCGCGATCCATCTTGGAAGGAATACTGACCAACATATTTCATTGTTTTCCAGGTGCCGACTATATCGGTTGATCCACTGGCTTCAGTGGTTCCGGAAGAGTCTGCTACCGCTCCAGTCAAACTTGACGCGGAATAAGTTGACCTTTAATGCTTCTTCACATTGCATTTTAATTAGGTTTATTGACTAATGAATGCGCAAGTATGAAACTGACATATGTATTCAGCAGTGGTAAAATTGACTAAACTGAAGACAGTTAGTTTTTTCTTATTAATATTTTATAAGTTTTATGAATTTGTTCATCTGCAAATGAACGTGGAAAGCACAAAACTGCGTCTTTTCACGTTTTGCCTGTGAAATTTTTTTATGAAACTTTGCTATTCGACAGACCTCGGCGTAATTATTATTCGTCAAATATCGGCTCTTATTTTTTTGTGTTGTAATTTATTTACTTATGGAAAAGTATCACGAAAACGTTTAAATAGAAACCCAGTCGCAAACATTACTTGTTGTGAGTGCAGATTACTTAAGAAAATGCTTTAACTAGCGTGTTGTTAGTTGTGCATATTGGAAAATCTAGGAAAACAATGGGTTGTGAAGGTTATTGATTTTTTTAACGAAATACTGTCAGTCAGCTTAATGAGTTAAATGGTAGTACTTAGGTTTCATATATATATATATATATATATAGCCGCAGAATTATTTTTAGATATGACAACTTTTCCATATGCGGAAGTAATTTGCCTATTTTAACATTTTTTTCTCTAACGGTTTGTTTTTCGAAAAAAATATGGGCAATTTGTTAAAGACTATAATTTATTCATTTGTATGAGGTGATTGCATTATTCAAGGAAGATATTAATAGTACTGACATAAAACAGGTCAGTTATAGAGTTCGTTTGGTTGCTGTATCTGTATGTTTGTTTCGTGTATTTATTTATATTTGTATGTTACACCACAAGTGAAATTTTAATTTTGGTGGTGTTAGTGTTTGTGTGGAGCATGATATAAATGGAATTATGCTTCATGGTTATTGTCTGATACAAAAGTTCGTTGCCAGTTTATTTTTTACAGTGAAAATGAATTGTACATAAAATGGTTTCAACTTACTTGTTACGGTGATTTCAATTACTTTTTTATTCAATTACGATTTCTGTTGCTTTGTCGCATTTCTCGAAATAATTAAATGTCGTCTCATATTTTGCACATTCGCTTGTTTCAATTTGTTTAATAATCATAAATTTAGTGTTAGTTCATCGCCAGTTACTTTAATGCTGTATTCCGGAATTCCATTGTTTCTTGGGATTTGTTTTAGAGGATATCTACACCTATCAGTGACAAAAAGGACAAACTTAGTGCTTTTTTCTTAACAGGATGTTAAAGCCAGTGAAGAAGTATATTTTCGTTGTTTTTTACCTTGGATACTCGACTTTCGAATTTCCATATACAGCGTTCATAGATGAGCGGGTGTCACGTTTTTTTTTATATTATCAGAGTCAGTGTTATGCATTTTGCGAAAGCATACCTATGTAGGGGATGGTATTCCGGCTTGGTATACATGTCAGAACAGTAACATTTCCATCTTTTTGCATGGAAATGTCTTTTTTTGAAAAGTCGGATACGGGGTTATTGTCCTTCCCGGAATACTATCCATATTTGATATAACTTTTAGACTTTTAATTTGTCGTGAAATAAACAAATATAATTTTCTTTTAAATGGTGATGAATAAAATGTCCATTCACAGTTACAATATATTGATGTTATCGATATGGATTTCATTCATTGCTGCATATGCTACCAAATCATGCAAACTGATTTCTACGTAAATCTCAACCTACTCACAGCATACCTGTACTAGCCCAATTTATGTTGGATAATTTCTTACGTCCTTTGAATTCTCGAAGAAGTGACAGTATATCTTTTCAAATCAATCGTTGACTATATTCGTCCGCTAAGTTTGAATGAGTGCTGCAAGTGTTTAGTGAATAAAACTATATATTTCGTGGCTTAAAGGAGGATAAGGGGTTGTTTCTTTTACCTTCGTTGTAGCAGCTAATGTACAGCGTGAGAAGTTATAGAGTAGCTTATTTCTCTACAACCAATGTTCAAAGTTGGAAATTTAGAGCATGAGGCAAGAGGTCAAATATATTGATGTTTAGTTATTGAGAGGAAAGTTTGTGTATCTTGAGAACATTCGAAAATGTCTGATTTCAAAAATTGGGATAGAACCGATGGAACGGGTCTCTGGAGTCTTTGAATACACATTACTGTAGTATTGTTTACCGTTATCCACCATGTGTCGCTTAAGTTTTCGATATATCTACTGTGTCGAGCTCTTATGTTCGAAGTAGTAATCTGCCGTGCTATTTGACGATGCGGCGAATGTCAAATCGTTTCACTCACTGGGGTGAGCCTTTCAGATATGAAGATGTGGAAGTTAATTATATAATATTCAAATTATCTGTTATATATTTCTAATACTTCTGTCCAAAAACTATTAATTTTGGCCTGAGAAAATACTCACTGTGTGGATTGAATATACAGATAATACAATACCCAATGGAGAATTATTTCTGAAAAATTCAAAAATGCTGCCTTGGTAGATGAGGGTCCCCTGAAAGCATGTGAGAGATGAGTCCGCCGTGCGTAGTATTGTAGAAATTGTGCTAAATCAATGTTTGCACAACTTGTAGATGCTACCTCGATAAATTCAACAAGTTGATTATAAGAACTCAATCTCTTCTATCTATTTCGATCATTTCTCTTTCAACTCCACCCCTTGTTTTTTGCATTTCCCACTGCGTTTACCAGCCTTGGAATGTTGGCCATCAGTGGTTTATTTTGAGGAAATGAGTATGAGCAATTCTTACCGCTGAATTTCTTGCTTTTTCTATGCTTTTGCTTAATATTGGGATTTTTTTATTCGTATTGAAATTGAACTTATAGTTGAATATTTCAAGAAATGAGTGTAAATCCCTCTCTCCTATGCACTTATTTAGTTATCATCTTTAATTGTAATGACAAATGTTATTCTTAACCATAATTTTTGATTGCATCATATTGACGGACATTTTCATTGATTAAATTGTGGCACAAAAGGTAATGTTACAAAAAGTTTCAAAGGGCATGAAATTTATTAATTCATTAATAGAAATGTGGTATATATTATACTTTTATTCTACTGTATGTAGTCGACTGAAAGATATATGTTAGTTTGGAATGTTTGTCCAGCTCGAACATTTTCATGTATTTATATCTTGTCGTCCCTATCTAACTCCTATCTTTCGTCCTACTCATTGCTTTCTTTCAACTTTTGCATTGTTTCGTACACCCCTTAGTGAACAGCTAGCATTTTTTAAATCTCCATTCTCAACACCTTCCAACATAGTCTTAAAAATTCAAGCTATACTAAAATTATGTTACGGACTCATAATTTGCTTATGAAATAAAAAAGAAAATAACTTAGACAAATGACTTGGAAGGAATGATAAAAGAGGTGAGGAGAAATTGTCTTATTAAGTTAATTTCGATATATTCGACATTTCATCAGATATTTAATTACAATGCGAATTATTTTTTGATTGCATTATAACAACTGAATAAAAATGAATAAAACTGAAATCAGTTACTGCTTCTGCAGCGTGAATAATTATTAATAACTTATTGCAATTGTTCATGGCTCAAGTATCTCCACCGCCGTGGTCCAGATGGGATGCACCGGGTTAGCCTCTAATTCAAACTTTGATAATTACTACAATCATAGGACAATATTCGCATATTGCCGATACTTTTATCCAATAACCAAAACATTAAGTAGTTTTTCTTTTTCAGTTCCTTTTTTTGTCTTTAAAGCGTGTGTATTTGCAGTGAATCTGTGTGATTTGGGAAATTATAAACAAATAATTAAGTGAAGTGGTGCATTCTTTTCTCCTCCTAATTTATTTCCAAACATTATCACCATTTTCATTATAAACTCTTTAAATTACATCATTAATATATTTATCCTTAAATGCTTCCAAAATACTTATGTTCTTTTCATGGGATTATTTTCATGGACAATTTTAGGTTATCAGTATGTGTCAAATAAAACCAAGCCACCATTTCCGTTACAGTACGATAGTGGACTTGAAAATCCTGGATTGCAATTTGGAGATTTAACACGGCAAAGGTTGGTGGGAGCTGGTAAACTTCTTGACCAAAAGATAAATGGTAAGTTAATAAAATAACTAAGAAATAGAATTACAGTTTTTAGGAATATATAGTTGTATTGAAAAGTACAGATTTATGACGACATAGCTTTGTTATATTTTATGGAATTATGAAGTGATCAATTACAAATTTATTCTAAAAGTTACTAATTCAGTGATAAAGTTAATCATACTATAATTCCATATGAACAATTTTTAACACTAGAGAACTATGCTTTTTATGAGAATTCTCTCTTTACTAATGGTGAGTTCGAAAATGTTCTATGTACGTTTCTGCCTAACATGCTATTTATTCATTATGTCCTGATGTATGGGATTGTATTAGTATTGATTGATAGGGACAATGATTATTATAATTAATTAAATTTTTATTTGCTTCCATTTGGAATACTTGGCTGAATTGGGATTTGAATTTTTCTGGCTACTTTTTTGCAACTAATTTACAGCCAATGATGCAAATTTCATTGACTGTATATATGGAATAGAAAATTCTCCAATTCGTGTCATCGCAAGATGTTTAGCAAATATTGGATGTTGTGAGACAACATGCTGCGAAAATCGTTCATGGTAAACTGTTTCTTCTCAATTTTTTTATGCAGTTAAATGAGATTGCGGATTTCTCCCGCACTTAACGGGTTTTTTTGACTTGTGAATTAGATTCCAATTTTCCCTAACTTTCCATATTTTTTAAATCTCAAAAAAATTGAAATCAGACAAAAAAAAATTAAGGAGCCATTTTATAGGCATGAAAAGTACGCCTGGGCAGTTGCACTGCTTGCTATATTTTGTGCTGTCGTACTTTGCTCCCTCTTCGTGATATTATTTTGTTGGTTATATAATCGAGCCAGAGATAAGAGCCAGAAACGATTCATTAGCCAATCAATGGGTGGAATGAGTCCAGCAATATCACAGGTTCATTCCAAACATAGTTTTTTTAAGCTGTCAGGCATTTTAAAAAAAAAAATGAAGGAAGTGACTTGGATTTTAACCGTCTAAATTCAATTTTAGCTAAATGAATGCAATCTGAAATTTAAATTTAAAACTCCATTTCTTTGAATCTAAATTCTAGTTTTAAAACGTTATTTCTTTGCAGGCAAATCTAGCTGCAATTGAAAATCGAAATGAAAGTGGTTATTATCCGTATGTTGGTGGACCTAATCAATACTGATACTTGAAAAATCCCTCTTCAACCATGAAATCAGTAAAGGAATCGTAAACTAAAAATCAACCTTTATACTGGTTTAGAATAACTCGTTATTTTTTGTCACTTTATTTATACCAAAACGCAACATACATACCTTATAGGTTTTCTTTCTCCAGTTTTAATTCCAGCAGAAGAAAACCTGAGTTTTAAAGGCTCTATCAAGGACTTCATCACAACTAACAAACAAGAGTATGTAATATATCAGCTTCCCAGACCAGATATATGATGTCCTCCTTGCTTTTGGCAAATAAAGGATCAAGTAAAAATGTAAACTTTATTATGTCTTTACTTTGCAATTATTTTTCTTGCGGATTTGGGAATTGAACTCAAAAACAATCGAATGTTTGTGATGCTCTCGATTGATAAGTTATTTAGTCACAACAGATACTTTGAAAGTAAGCGTTATCGAGATCAGCATAAATTCAGAATTTTTCGCTATCTTATGGAGCATTCATTTCTGTCTTTTTTGAGTGTGATACATGGTACGCTAAAGACACGTGTGCTATTTCAATGCAATCTTTACTGTATGATCAATTTGATTATTCTTGATTTTTTGAGAAATTCGGCTTGAAATTGTTTAAAGAACTCGTGAATTCTTCGATTTAAGAGTTCAAAACTGTGCATTAGAGAAAGAAGTGGTATGCATGCATGTTCTGAATACGATATCACTGTTGTATTCTTTCTGGGCGATACTTATACTGTAAGGTACGATTTTATTCCATGCTACGAGTACAAGAATACTGTAGAAAAAATGTGTATTTTGTTTTCTGGTGCAGATATTATTACAGAGTGGACAAGAACATGCGACTAACTAGTAGCGGATTACCATAAACGGAATAAAATGTTTGCTAACAACAATTTTTAGGTTGAGTTCTATTTCAAAATGTGTTAGTTAAGGCGTTTCATGTATAAGTGAATTCAAAAGATCAAATTGATCGTTTTTCAAAATTGTATAGTGATTTTAAGAGAAGTTTAGCCGAAAAAAAATGAGATAGAATACTTTGCATAAGCAGAAGTGATTTAAGTGCTCTAATGAATCCTTTCCATAAATGAAAATGCAATCCAACAGTTTAAAATTCCTGCATCCTTATTGATCTTTTCTATTAATATTTTGTTATCAAGCGTGATATGAAAATTTATTATATCTCTATACAGGTTGTGAAAGTAGCATATTTCAACAACGGCAGCATCTTCCCATTTATGATCGAAATTTTAACAGGAAAGAATATTTGTGACATGACGAAGACCAACTTTTCACTGACTTTTTCCTATTCTTGTAACAGTACCGGATGTATTCTAATGATTAACATGCATCACAACAAGTGATATATATCACTGCTTGGAATACACTGGTATTGTTATAATTTTCAATAATTAAAATAATCAAAAATTTAAAACGTGTGATTATGTTTAATAGGGTCTTCAGAATTAAATGTCCCTCATTTTTTGTCCTGCTCAATGCTTTTAAGCGTATACTTTATCTAATTCTTGCGATATCTTGGTTAAATTCACTCATGCATTGCGATATTTTGGTTAAATTGCAAGCGAATTACTTGCCTAAAATTTATTGTGCCAATTAATCATTAGAAACAACAATGTTACGCGTTAAAAAGTTATACAAGGACCACGAAACACATAAGAGAGTGACTTAGATGTGAAGTGCAACTCAGTTTGCTAACTATATGCTAATATGATCACAAAGAATAACAGTTTTAATTAGGGGAAGCTTCAAGGATTAATTATCAGGATGAGGTAACTAAGCAGCAAACAATCAGCAAACCGATAAGTTATTTTTGAATTGGAAGAATTTCCTTCCGTGCGTTTTTCTGGATTTTGACGTCGATAAAATGAAACGACTGAAGAGTGAATACGCAACAAATATGTTCAAACAATACTGGTCGCAAATTCAGTTGAATCCATAATGCGATTTGTTTGTCCACCGAGACGAGCATTTTCTGTGGATTCATTGCTGGATGTTAAACTGTAATTAGCTGAGTCATCTTGAAGCGAACCACCAATGTTAGTCTTAATCTTATGCCGTGTCGAGGTGTTGCCAGTAGCAACTGTGGTACGCAATGATTTTGTTGGTTGCTGTTGAGCTCTCAGTGTTCGATCTCGATCATTACCCTCTAAATGTGATGTACCATGTTCAAGATTGCCGTACAGACTAATAGTACCAGTTGTATCGCTACTTACGAATCGTCCACCACTGCAAATATTTTGTGAATTGGGCGATCCTGGTGTAGGTGCTCTTTGTGAGGAGTAGTTACTTGCACTTCCTTGACTAGTTAACGTTGATGTTGGCGTGAAACATTGTTCTTGCTGATTTGTACTAGCTGCCGATGAAGCCTAAAAATTCTCATATTAAAAAAAGATTAATGCGCCGCACTTGCTAATTTGAAATATTCACTCAATCAGTCAGTTGTGTTGTGTTGCTTCTTCAGATTTGTAAAAGTTCCGCTTACAGTGAATAATGCAAGCAGTGCTAGTAACAACGCTTATTTTATTATCACACCAAACTTATATTTAAAAAACGTTTGAAGCATACAAAAAAACAACATGCCTTTCATATTTTTGGGTAAATGAATGGAAAAATTCAAAATTTCTTTGTTTATATTTGTGCTATGGGAAATTTGTACTACGCACGTTCATATTAGTACTAGATTACTATCGCAAAACGAAGTTAAAAGTTTTATTTGTGAGAGCGGAATAGTAATAACAAACGAATTCCAAACAGTAGCAACTTACGCCTATAAGCATAAAATCGTATCTTAAACATAAAAAGCCTAAAAAAGGAATAAGTATTAAGGTAATTATGGTTATGAGACATTTTTTAAAAGAATACATTATCAGAGCTCCCGATCGCATTTGACTTCATAAATTCTGACGCAAAGCTATATAACTTCATTGTGTCGCATTTTAAATCACAGTGTAAATTCTAATCAAAAGGTGAACGCATATACTTAACATTCATTCGCTTTATAATAATAAAATTCAGGATTTCAGTGGAACAATTTCTATGGAAGTAAATAAGTACCTTGTCATATGAGGGATTTTTCCAATCTACTGGCCGAGAGATCTGAGAAGTTTGCCGCTGCTGTGACCAGGTGAATCCAGCACTAGAGCTGTGCTGCTGTTGCTGCCGATGTTGCTGGGCACCAATTAATTTATATGAATCGATAATCGGAGTAGCGCTATTGAATGATGATAATTTTAGGTTGGAAGTCCTTTGATACGGTGAATGTTCCCTAGAAACTTTTTATTTACTCTTACTAGAAATTGCTACTATAACTTTCAACTATTTAGAGACTTAAGAAAGCGATTCCATTTTTAATAAAATGATCTGATCCGAATGACAGAATGGAAAAATGCCAAACCTGCTAGAAATAGATGTTCGCATATCCAAACGATTTTCAGCAACGGGACTACTTCTTATGGAAAGTACTGAAGATATTGGCCCACTATCCATAACAATATTCTGCGATGTATTAGTCTGGAATGATGCAATTAATTAAAACTAGGCTAAAACTAGAGAATTTATTCTTGTATTTCTTTAGAAATATATAATTGAAGTTTAAAATTGATACTGAAAAGAAAACCTGTGTTCTGTTGCAAATAGTGCCCATATTTCGACTGGCATGAACTGCCTGGGCAGCTTGAACAGCAGCCTGTTGCATCAATTGCTGATTCTGAAGAGCACGAGTCTATAAAAATCAGTAAAATAATGCTGGAAATGACTTAATTCCTATTTTAGCTAATTAAATGAAGTATTCACATCATCCAGCAGAACAAGAACTTTCGGAATTTTTTGACAATTGAGAACTTCCAACTTGGTACTTCTGAGACACAATACAATCACAACAAAAATGAAGAAAATTCATCTTGAACCTGCGGTCGGCTATACGTTGCATATGCTCCATACGGAAGAGTAGTATTTCCAAATCCATTGTTAATTGCTCCGTTATCTTTGGAAGCACGTCTTCGTGTCACTGTTGTTTCCGTCTGTCCAGTCCCGTTTTTATGAATTGAAGCATATGCCTCCTGTTGCTAAACAAGGATTCCGCTGTAAGGAGAAGCTACAAAACAGCTTGGACGTCATTTCATTGGCTTATGCCAATATTTGTGTGGCAAAAAGATTGTTTTAAAATTTGTCTATCATCAAATTACATTAAAACAGCACCATACTTTAAACACCATATCAGTCAAAATGTAGCAAAAACTATACAAATGTTTGGATATTTGAGAATTTTAACATCTCTCCTATTTTAATATTTATAAGAAGTTGAAAGGGAAGTTTATGTTCACCGTCAAAGGTGAGCTGTCTGAAGTGCTATTTCCATTGCATGCATTTATTAAATTTTGCAGTGATGGTTTCTGGGGATTTTGCAACATTTGTCGGTTACTATTGGATGCATACTCCGATCCTTGAGTTCGCTGAAAAACGAATTCGTTTTGCTTTTAATAATATCGTTTGAAAAGGTAATGATCACGGAGTTCAAGAAAATCAGGATCAAAAAATCTAAATTTCAGTCTGAATCCTTAAGAAACTATAAAATAAAAGTGAAAGTACGAAAAACTCACAACTTCTGACAAAATGGATCGACATAAATCTGCAAACCTGGAATGTTCCAAATGTATTCCCGGGTATGGTTACATTTGCCGAAACTTTTGCCTCATTAGAATATTTGGGAACATTCATTATAATCCGTTCCTGCGATGGATGGGTCATTTGTGGCTGCATGGTATGAGCAATCTGCATATCAATAATGTAGAAAAGATTTAAATTCCAATTCCTGAACTAATTAAAACAGGATAGTATGATCTTTAAATTCTTAAATTGGTAATCTTCCTTTTACCATAGCAACATCGAAAGTTGCTAGAATGAAAAATGAATAAAATTTGGTCACATGCCGTATGGTAGGCAATAGTGGGTGACGAGTTCTCATCGCTACTTCGCCGATGAGTTGTGGACGTACCAAGTAGTCGATTCATTTCCGGTGTTCCTTTCACTCTTTCTGATGGAACCCTTCTGAACAAGTACACCACGAAGATTATATGAATATTGTGAGTAATAGAAAAGAGAAAAAAATGAATGATAAAGTAATCAGTTGGAAGTAACAATTAAGTAAATTGCAAAAAAATGAGAATAGCGAAGTATCAAAAAACCTCGCTGTAGGTGACTGTTTACTGTTTCCTTTCAACCAGTAAGTACCTTCGCTTGTTGTACCAATTCCATTTTTCTGTGCTTGCCGTAATAGTGACTTTTTAGCTATGGTATCATCCGTAAGATACATCTAGAATTTTAAGTGCGATCATTTTCCATTTAAGATATTCAGCTATCAGCAAATATTGAAATGGATGAAAATTGGAGAAAAAAATTTTTCGATTCATAATTATTACAGTAATTTAACTGATGAAATTCAAAAAACTCAAAATATTCAAAAAATCAGATTCCAACCTCGTCACCATGCATTAATACCAATGCATTTTTTAGTTCGGATGGTTTTTTTTCGATGATTTTTGTGGGAGAAGCAACCATCGTCCGAGGCCCATTCTACAATTTTTCAGTTAAAAAACTTTTCAATTGAAAATTAACACCAATAAGATATTACCACAATTAAAATATAAATAAAATGAGACCAATTTATTACCTGAAGAGCAATAATTTCATGCACTTGATGAATAACTTTGAAATTCCAATCTCTTTTAAGTGTAAGTATGAGCCAAAGAATAATCCAGGCAAACAGAAAAACAATATCAATAACGATGCAAGATAACAATAGCGCCTTTTCTTCATGCTGAAAATCAAGCTCCGATTTGCTGACTCTCCTATATCAAATTCTTTCTAAACATCTCTATTCTGAATATATAAATCTAGACAACCAATGCTCAAAATTTTATGCTGGTTGAAATTGAATAAAATATTTCATAGGTTATAAACTGTGCAACTCATTGCCCTTCTTTTTCCTTGCTTCTTGTTTCTCATTTTCTTTTCACAGTAAAAAAAAAAACCACTTAATTTGACAGACTATAATTGATTAGAAACAATTAAAATGAGCTAATTATTTGATGAGATTTGTGAAAAATTATGCAAATAGCTTAATTACCTGATAGATAACCATATGCGCATATATGGTTGGAGCTTTGGCGATAACAATTAAAACAAGCAAAATTATTGCAAATATGTGAGACACATATCTAGAATGATTCAAATTATTGACTTTAATGAAGACTCACTTCAAGAGAGAATTTAAACTAAACTAAAATGAAAAAATTCTTTTTGGAAAAGTATTCCTGCATATTATTACTATATAAATTACTGGTAAAGGTTTATAATTTCTTTACTAGTATTATTTAAATTGCAAAAATATGAAAAAAATACACATACCCATCACAACATAACCTAGCTTGTGGCACCTTGGATGAACTTCGGAGACGATATTCTGAATATTCACTCTGCGTACCACTAATACTGCTCGCCTGACTTCTAAAGGCACTCTTTTGCCGCACATTTGACATGTTTATCTGATAAGAACATTATATTTTGAAGCGAACAAATTCATCGCCTTTAATGAATCATAATGAATTTATTGCATGCATGGAATTTTGATTATCAAAGATTTAAAAAAAATTTAAGGACAACTTACGAAATATTTGCTATAGCCATACATATATAATGCGATGGGTGCAAAACTAATAAACATAATTGTCGTAACATACGTGATAATAATTGCGGATGGATGATAAATTTTTAAGGGACGTGAAGAGATCAAATATTGTCCTAAACCAAGAAAAACTGATTAATTTGATCTCTACTGAGGACAGAGGTGAAAAGAAAACTTGGAAACAGAACTTGCTCGAACTTATTTAACACAAACTAAGACTGAAATTTCACTTTAAAAAAGCCGACTGCAATGAAGCGTCAAGAACATACCGAGACCAACCGGTCGGACACTAGCATAGTTTGTTTCCTGTATGCGATGAAGAACACTAAACCCGAGATAAGACCAAATAACCGTCGCCGAATAAATCAACAAATGAAGAGAAAATATAAAACTAAACGGTTTATTGGTATGCCAGAAAACTGCTGAATAAGCACACGTATAGACGAATAGTGCAATCAGCAAATTGACAAACTCCAGCGGTATTCCAAACAAACGAGCATGCATCAATACTGAATAATATTTTCATTAATTTACTTTGGTAATTTTTTCCAAATCTCAGGTCAGATAAATAATACCACCTAAGCTTGTAGTCTTCTATTTCTGATAATTGCAGTAAGACTAAATTTTACTTGGTAATAAATTAGGACTGATTGGTGTAGCAGTCAAATCCTGTGCAGATATACGAAAACCCTGCAATCGGCTATTAAGCATCGGTAGATTTGTCGCCAGTTGTCGGGCACGTTGATATACGAAATCAAGCTCTGTGTTCAAAAAATCACCTGGAAAATTTTTGTGAATTTTTCTTAAGACATGTTTAACACACAAAATATTATTATCATGAGACCCTCGGTAGTAATTTAAAAAGACTGAAAAAAATTTAATGAAATTTCCAGTTATTTTAGAATCCAGAATTAGTTCTACATTGAGCAAAGAATTTCCGACCTCAAAACCTCCGATCCAATTCTAATGTTAGCAAGATAAACCTTTCACTTTTCTAAGATCGGTAAATATATAGCTGAAATGATAGAGCCCTTAGTGTAAATGACTCCGTACAACTTCCTACCATCAGTTAATAGAAATATTCCAAACATGAACGTGACTCAGCTGTTAAAGTTAGAGGAAATGCATACATGGATCAAATAAATTAATTATGCTATCCCCTTCCTGCTACATTTTACACGCTGTATGTTTTTAGATGCCTTTTATAAACTACATTACAGAAGCTACCTAAGACATCATGATTTCAAATTAAAACAAAATAAAATAAAAATAAATTAAAACAAAATAAAATAAGACGTCATGATCATGACTTCAAATTCATCAATTTCAAACTGTGATATCCGAATTGAGCAAGGTTATCTGTGTTTATCATGATTATAAAATATGCTCAGTAATAGTGGCTGTTTATGACCAAATTTTATTAGAAACCTTAAGTAATAGAGATATAAAAATTCTTATGATGCTTCATCCTACTCGTCATCTACTCTTATTTCGGACGTACATTGGCTTTCCAGAAGATTAGACTGTAGTGAAATCTTTTCATAAATTTCAAATTCCTCGAAATAGTGTCTCATTACATTCTTAATTTCCACACCGATCAAATTTTTGAAACTTTGAACATGCCTTAGTGATTGTTTCATCAATTTGATAATGGCTGGTATAAATAAAAGATATTCACACACATTCACTTCACATTTCAATTGTGATTTCGAATTTATAAGTGTACTGCTTTATGAAATAGAGAAAAGATGCGACGGTGGAACATTTATTCATAAAGCATTTGGGGAGTAGCAGTATTGAGTATTTTTAAGTAGTCCATTGGTTTCATTCCCGGTGCTCCTTCCTTCCTTCAACTCCTTCCGTTGCTTTTTCCGCTAGGCGTTTTTATTGAAAAAAGGCTTTTTCTGATAGCACAGCCTATTTCATTATATTTATCGAAATCAGTAGGGATTTGCCACTGCCTGGTACCTGTTATAGGCCATCTTTCATGTATCCAAGAACATCACTGAAACACATTCACCACTCACCCACTCACACACATAAACAGAGAAATAAAGAACAAAAAAAGTTATAAACAAGGATAAATCAGTTGCTTTACGGGCTTAGAAAGAGTATTTAACGTACAATCACGTAACATAGACTTGATTTTACAGTGCATCATCCTTTGCAGCGATAACGAATACTCCTTTGGAATTCTTCAACCTCTCGGATATTATTTCGAAGTCATTTCTTGAAGTGCAATTGATTTTATGACTGTAATGTTTTTCGATCTTCAGCACTTCTTCGACAGTGCATGAGTGCAGATCCTTCAGATTACTTCAATCATTTGACCTACATCTTTATCACTCTAAGTCGGCCCCAATTCGAATAAGAAAACTATCTGTAGAACTTGTAGAAAAAATTTTCGTCCATAAATTTTTGGCGATCGCTCTTGACGAACGAGAAACATAAGATTATTGAGCGCGCATCTAATATATATACCATGATATCATAGTGTTATTGTTGTTTAATGATTCTTTGTTTGTAAATTATGGAATTCAAATGTGAACAAATCGTCCTAAAATACTACGTTAAGGCTTGTAGTAATGCAACGGAAATGATTCAATTCGGTAGCCTTTCACAACTTTTCTCATCTTTTTTTCAAATAATATTCATAGTCCAGCATCCTAATGTCGTCAGGAGATGATGAACAATTAATAACATTATAGAGTCGCAAAAAACGGAAAAACCTATCGTGCTCATCGCGTCGGCAGTCTCCTATAGATTTTTTATGAGTTTCTTGAAACCATCCTCTAAAAGACCCCTAAGGAGCAATTTTTGCTAAAACCATTGCTCCCACCTTTCCCGTGAATTGATTCACTTTTTGACTTAAAAGCACCTCTGTCTTCCTAATTCTTAGTAATATACTTTTTTTACTGTATGAATGTTTGGTTCAATCATGCAATTTCCTTACTTCCAAAAAAACCGTTTCAAATTAATTCTAGATTGAATTTTTAAATTTATATTTAAATATTAAAAATTTGGATCTTCACATAATACTGCAATCATTAAAGGAAGAAGAATATTATAATTTCCTTTTCAAAAATAATTTTCTTAATTAGAATTAAGAGAAGATTGTTCATGTATGTTTGCACATGTCACAGGAAAAAATAAACCCAGCTTTCAAAATTAAAAGGTACTATTAATTTTACCGGAATTGATGAAACCGTATCGATAAAGTTGGGATAACATCACTTGTTGGGCGAATAATTGAATAAGCGCCATTACTAGATGAATAAGTTGTGGCAACGGTGGTGCATGTTGCCACAGTGATTTGATGCATCGCAAAAATGAACATCCTCCTGCAATGCAGTAAGCAATTATTTCCAAATAATGTTGCTTAAGGATTATTTACATTATATTCAGGACCAATTTAACAGATTGAAGTTAAACATTTGCAATATCACTTCACATATTTTTCAAATTTTCCATTTTTAGAATAAAATTTGCAAAAATTCGTCAATCATAGCTTAACTACCTCCTTCATATCTATGTGAACTCCGCGTAATTTCAATGACACGATCGATTCGAGCACCAAGTTGATCATTATCGCCAGCAATATTGCCAGATTTGAATATTCCAAATGCCATAAACAGTAGTAAACCAGGTATGCATGAGAAATACAATATAATATAAACATTTAACCAAAAGTTTGGATAGGCACCATGTGGCCATTTCATTTCCGAATATAACCGATAACGTTCGAAACCAAGATAAATTAAATAAGTCTGTAGAAGTACCATTACTACAGTGTACCATATAGACCAAAGCTCGTTTACACGAGCTCGAAATGAACACGGCATTGCAGATGCTTGTGAAAACAAGTTTACAGGTGAAGCAGTAAAGCTTTCAGTTGATAATTTCAGTCAATTGTTTGGTCATTTAATTAATTGAATGCATCACGAAGTTTCATCACTTTTTTCTTACTCGACTATGGTACCGAAAAGTGACTGCAGTAGGATTCCTCATACGATTTGAAGTTTTATTTCATTTCATATCCCATAACATAATTTCCTGAAGCAATTAATAGATGACAGTATTTGATATGCGTTAATACCAGAAATCAGTTCTGTTCAACAAACAGGTTATATTAGACTGTTTCAGCAAATTATAATAAATTATCATTTTTTAAATTAATTCATTCAAATAATAATCTGAAAATTTGTTGATGTACTCAATGCGAATAATCATTAACAATCGACGAATGAATATTAGAAATGATTTTGCAAAAAATGGGATGGAAGGAAAAATAGATAATGGTCAACCATTTTAAGGTCAAGTAATGCTAATAAATTCTGAAAAGTAAAATTGAAATAAAGTAGTATGCGATAACTGCTCCCCTTTCATAATGAGATTAAATAATTTAACGCGTGTTTAACTCATTTCAGTGAATTTTAAAATTGAACTGATTTGGCATATCACGAGATAATGTAATCCCCAGTAAAGTTATCATATAGGAATGAAACATAAAAGAGTAAAAATTTATTGCGATCTGCAAATATTTAATTAAAAAAATGGATGGTTGCTACAATTACAAAATGAAACAAGAGCAAGTATCGATGCAATGAGAAGATGTGAAGAGAATATGTGTTGAGTGTTTGCAAAGCATGCATTGAAACTTGCAGAATAATATAAATGGATAGCAAAAAGGCAAAAGGTAAAAGAAAAGGTATAAGGGAACTTGTAGTTTGTAAAGCAACAAACTGCGTGTGACGTTCTGCATAGTATATATTTAAAAAGGAAACTTTCAGCTGAAACAGGGCGGAGTGCCAATAAACATAGATGAAATGAAGGACGAAAAAGGGAAGAAAACATTAGTGAATTGGTGAGAGTGAAATGACCATTAGCTTTTCCGCGCTGCTAACACAAGCAGCTTGCCGCATGAGCGATTTAGTGAGGAGATGATTATAGCTGAGGGAAAATATGGCTCGAGATGTCCAAGAACAGGAAAAAAGAGGAATGCGCTGAGCTGAGGCTGCTCTCGCTAGTAGCAGCAAAAGAGGCAGGAGCGCCTGGTATGAGATCCCTTTGGTCGACACACCGATCGCCTGTCCCGTTCTATTGCTCATCCTACCCTATACATTCTTCCTCCTCAACTCTCCTGAATACAGATTAAAATTCACCGCAGTACACGCGAGCGAGTGCATAGTACTTGTTACCCATTGGCTCTCTTATCATCTGTTCCCCTAGGAATTCGTGATGGTGACGAAATGGACATAGGTTATCCCTTGACAAAGATCATCACCATTACACCATAAATGAGCAACACTCTTGACCCTCAAAAGCCCTTCTTCCATTTGTCTATTTCATATACTGCAAATGCGATATAATAGTAGTAATCAACGACATAAAGTAGTGGTCAAGATGGACAGCAGATGGATGCATGTTGTGAGCAACAATTTTGAGCAGATAATGAATGCCTGTTGCCATTTAATTTCTTGAGCAGTCTTTCGCTATAAATCGCAAGCGAAAATGTTGTAGATTGTGACGTATACGTCATTTAGACCACTTCTTTATCCCATAATAATTCCGCGTCACATCGAACATAATCATTCCTAATCATAAATAAATCTATTTATAGTTCAGACTACCTAAGTATAATCAACTTTTATATATTATTCTTTATCGCGTTTAACCTTCTTGAATGCAATTTAACCTTGATATTCTCGCACATAGATGAAGTCTTTAGATCGAACTTCTTTCGGAAAATCGAATTTTTTGATGCTAGTTAAAATATGGAAGTATTAGTCATCCCTTAGCGAATATATTCAATTCATATCAAGAATTCGGTCTTATAAAGAAAAATTATTCAGTTCAGCGCTAAAGAATTTTTTTTTAAAAGAAAAAGACATTTATGGAATATAAAATGAAGTGTTCTGATTAATTAACATCCAATACATGCTTGCTATAAAGCAATTCAGAAAATATTTGATTTATAGTTAAATAAAAATAAGAAATATATAAATCAAAAATATATCAAAAAAATATCTCAAAGATTTGATCAGAAAGTGAGAAAAAAACATTTGGAGGCTTAAATAAGAAAAACTAAACAGAAAAGGCTTTAGAACATCTAATCTTTTATTTACGAAATTTACGACATTCTTGAATTAATGAGCTAAAAAGTAAATCCATCATGACATATTTATTGTTGAATTTTGAATAAGAATTTTTCCTAATATCAATATGTTAGATTGGAGCAAAAAAAATGAAAGCAAAGAAGCAATAAAAAATTTGTAAACAAAACAATAAACAAAAATTGCCAGCATAGATTAAATTACAAAATATGCAATTATTTTCAATGTTGCATTCTTCCTTAAATTTTGATTATCACATATAGCAAAAACAAAACAATTGATGCAGCTGTTAGCGCATCTGTCATAAAATGAATATTTCGATCTAAATTCTTTACATTCATTTTCTTTTCTCTTTTGCAGACTTGTGCTTTGTGCTATGTAAGCATGCGTAAACTGTTTTAATAGCTGGAAATAGTTTACCCATCTTTTCATATCCGTAATTATCGTCGTTGTTGTCTAGGATATCCGATATCTTCACTTACCAACAATACCTTACATCGGCATATAATCTTCAATCTTGGTAATCAAACTTTCAATCTAACACTGAAAATTCGAGAACTTAGCTGAGCGAGAATGTTTAACTTACGATATTTCTCTTGAAAGGAGATCACCAGGATATCGTATCCGCTTCGCATCAAATAAATTTCATTATTAATGAAGAAATACTTCTCTAACACTTTATAATTGAGTCATTATCTTTCATCACTACCTTTCATCATTTGGTATTTATTCTTTCATCATTTGGTATAGAATCCTGGAAAATGTCAAAATTTTTTCCGTTGATACCTTTGCTTTGATGATCACTTTTTTACTTTCTTTCCTTCTCTTTTTTTATTAACATCTCTGGTTGAATGCTCGTTTATACATACTTTTAGATAACAATTACTCCAAATAAATATTCCTTGGAAGTATTTAAATGGAAATTGAAAAAGAATGCACGAGGGCACATAGATCGTTCGCTGATAGACTCAATTTGATTGCTACTGATATTTAAAGTCGGCTTATACTATTACTACCTATTTTGTTAAATTCATCTATATTGAAACAAACAAAATCTACTCAAAAAAAAATTACTCTGATAATAACTGCTGTAGGTTTTCTAGAACTGAGACTTTAGAGATTCCTTTTAGGTATTGATAACAGAAGGGAACTAAAGGTGGGATATCATCTCATCTGTTCGTGTATATGTAGCAAAAAACAGTGATTAGATTTGTAAAAATATGTAAAGTAAATTGAATATGAACTTAGAGAAAAAAAAATGGCAGAAGGGAGGGAAGGATGAGAACTATTTGAAATATTCTCATTGCTACATTTACAAACCAATTTTTTAAAAGTGTATTTTCGGCATTTGTACTCAACGATTGAATTGATTTCACTTAATTAAGCATTATGTAAATTGCTATTCATGGATTATATCGATCAGGTTGAGGAAGCAAATCATTTCTTCTCACATTGTGCTGGCAAATTACTTTATGAATCTAACTTCAAACTGCTAAAATGGATAAGAAGAAAACGATTGCCATTTCATAATATTTTTTCAATAAAAAAATTATGGCGAAGTAAAACAATCGATGGATTACCTTCACTGCACTGATTTTGAAAATTATATCCTTCATTTGCATGTAATATGAATTAAAAAAGTGGTCAGTTAATGAAGTATGCTGTAATAGATATAAAAATTTTGAGTTTTCTTGATATGCCCAAGTTCCTGGCCTATATTATTCCTTTGTAAATGTTGTTCAAAAAAGCAATTATAAGTTAAACGAAATTACAGAGATCGTAATTACAATCGCTTTTTCTCTCTCCAGTCTCTTCCGTCATTTTCACTTCACATAATAATTACAAAACCAATAGGCCTATAATACCGAACAAAGAAGGAATTTAATTTTCGCCTGCACCATTAGTTACCACTTCTTATCAACTAAATTGCTGGGGAAGCATTCCATGCTAAAGTTTTGCTTGTTGATATACTCGTTTCATTCTTTTGCAAGCTTTTTTCGAAACTTATTTTCAAGCAACTTTGAAATATATTTATCATAATCAAGCAAAGAAGAGAAGAAAAAGCTTGTAGCTCGCATTATCAAGGGACAAAGTGATCACTGGGTCGAACTTGAAGAAAAGCATTTAGTGAATTGGCAATCGGAAATGGAAATACATCTGCCCAGGTGAGAGATAAAACTTGCATATTCGATGTCTATGAAATTTGAGACTTCTACGAGATAATTCACTTCTGCACTCTTTTTAGAGTAAAAAATTTTTTTCTTCTCTTAAAATTTCCAAATGCGAAATAAATGTCCTCCACAAAATTTGTAGTTTTATTCTCCAAAAAAAAACAATAAGTCTAACAATTATTTGATAGCTCAATAAATAATAGCAATCCAGATAAATTGTTAACAAATTTCCTGGAATTATCGAAAAAGAAAATATATATAGCAACTGATCTTCGTGGATACACATGTGAGGAATGGTGACTACGTTTCGAACATATTTATTTTAACTTTAAATCTAAGAGCTAAACAGTGGACAGAGAGAAAGTCCATTTAAGGATGTTAAATTTTTGATCAGAATAAAATTTCGATTAGTAACAGTAACCTTCTTTAGAACATTATCAAGGCTGCAGACTATGCACATGTTACAACTGCTTGGACATACAATGCACCGTCCTATCTTACAATGAACTATGTGGACATCTAAGGATATTTAGAGTTCAATCTTTCAGTGAATGTTCA